AAGGCAGGGGCTGCACACTGCCAGGGAGAGTGTAAAAATAAAAATCCTCACGAAGCTGTGGTCAGGAGAGTCAATAAGATGTTTTTTGTCAGGGAAAGTTTACCAAATTAGGGTTTTTATAACAGAGATTGGCTGATATTCATGTATACATGTTAGTTCCATTTTGCGAATTTCTTCAGTTTTTATGAGTTTTTTTTTCAGATTTCTTCAGACTGTTTTCAAAACTATCCCTAACTTTTTAGTAAAAAAAAGTATGACAGTCCTGAAATATATTTTTTTTTCAAGTGGACTAGGTTAAAATGCTATAGCAGAAAAGTGGGTTGAATACTTTTTACGGGAACAGCATTTGCAAGGAATGGCTTCCCACAAAATACTGCTTTGGTTGGTCCCTGTTCATGCATGAACAGTAATGGGAGCTTCTATGCAGATTCACCTGCATACAGGGCAAAAGCCACTGACTTTATACTGACTTTACTCTAAATGTAGAAGCCAAACAAAAACCTGTAGTGTCTTTACATAAGCATCAGCAGGCCCGTCCCTAGGGGGAGGGGGACACAATTCTACCCCCCCCCCCCAGCAACTGGCCATCCATCAGCAAAAAAATAAGCGTTAAAATAAGATATAATTTTTTTTTTTTTTAAATTTTTTTTTGGTATTGTGGTGTGCCCCCCTAGCCGGTACTTTGGCCCCTCCGAATGCCCGGAGCTGGCAACTATGGCATTTAAGAGTTTTAGCCTCTTATACAACTGTTGAGGGGGTACTTTTGCTAGGAAATATAGTGTTTTGGAAAACCTGTTTCATTTAAGACATGATTATAAATGATTATCATCAGTGATTATCCGCCCTCTTCATTCTCCAAATATTTCCATTTATCCCAAGTGTAGTATCCTGACAAGGTGCTAGATAAATGTTATGTGGTGGGCTGGTCTCAGCTCAAGGTTTACAACTCTGAGCCATGAGTGTTAACAGATCAGTGGCAACACTGGCTTTTTGAGGCAATCGGGCGGATCTTAAGAAACTCTGTTTGAAAATCTTTACCTCAAAAGAATCTGGGTCCTTAACATTAAGCAGAAAAGTTTGTTAAACAGTAAGCAAAAAAAAAACGTACTAAAAGTGGTACATTGCTTTAAGCAATGTTTCACATCCTGAAGATGTTAAACGTTACAAACATGTTAGCGTGAAGATTTCTATTGTTCCATCACTAGTTTGAGCAAGTTTTATCTTCATTGAGGTTTGCATGGTTTTCACCTTGCTTACTGCTTAGCCTGGTCACTGTTAAATAGATTGCTTAGCAGTGTCATAAAATGGGGCCCTGGGCATGGGCTCAATTTAACAATGAATTAGTGGAGCTGTTTAGCAGAATATAAATTTCTTAGCAGCTTTACTTGCTAAGAAAACTTAGGGAATCAAGCCAATGCAATGTTAAGTCATACACAGTTGGGATGACAACCGATTTTGCTCAGCAAGCCAATTTTGGGATGAGCACATTTCCATGCTTAGCACCTGTCTGAAACTGTAGTCGTTGTCATTGCAAGTCCCATTACAAGTCTGTCACAAGTCCAATCACAAGTCAATCACAAGGCCAATCATAAGTCCAATCACAAGACAACCTCTAATCCAATCACGCTTCTAATCACAAGGTCGTCACAATTCAACCACAAGTCGATCACAAAGTCGATCACAAGTCAACCACAAGTCAACCACAAGCCCAATCACAAGTCAATCCCAAGGCCAATCATAAGCCCAATCATAAGTCCAATCACAAGTCAACCTCAAATCCAATCATGCGTCTAATCACAAGGTCGGTCACAAGTCAATCACAAGTCAATCACAAGGTCGATCACAAGACCAATCACAAGTTCAATCACAAGCCCAATCGCAAGCCCAATCGCAAGCCCAATCACAAGCCCAATCACAAGCCCAATCACAAGTCAATCACAAGTCCAATCACAAGTCGATCATAAGTCCAATCACAAGCCCAATCGCAAGCCCAATCACAATCCCAATCACAAGCGCAATCACAAGCCCAATCACCACCCCGGCCCAAGTACAACTTGACTTGTGATCAACTTGTAAGGACACATGAGAACTTGGTGGATTTGTGAGAACTTGCGAGATCTTGCAGTAGACTTGACTACAGTACAACATTGCTATGAAACTGTACACTAAATAATGCAGTTTCTTTGAGTTTGAGGAAGCACTGTTCAAGTACATGCACCTGTCAATGCATTCTTCTTATCCGTTGGGGATATTTTGCTCCTTCCATCCCACAACCCTAAGAGTTATACTACACCAAACATTTCTCATCCGGCAGTTTAACGATGCACAAAGTTCACCCCATCTTCTTCTTAACACACAGGTTTATTTTAGGCATTACACATCTGTGTATAATGTAAACAACGTCTGGAGATGTAAAAGACACATTGTCAGAAATCTCACAGAACTATGAGAAGAAATAAAAAGAAAGGATTTGTGATTTACAGTTTCACCACTGGTGAATTTGTGCTACTGCAAAGTATGTTTACTCTGTTCTGAGGTTCCTTCCCACAAGATAGGAGAAATTTACGAGGTCCCTGTAAGAAACCCCAGGGTTCGTCAGCTAAATACATACATATGATAATAATTGTGTGAATGACTACCTTGGGAATACTAGTTTCATCTGGAGTCCCAGGGAGAAACACTGGCATTTTTTTCCTTCACATTCTTGGTCAAGATGTTATCATTGCATTTAGTGGTTGCAGTGGTTTTACAGAAAGAGATTTGTTTTTAAATTGATGTTTTTTTTAGCAATCCAGTATTGTTTCACTTTGAAATGCGAGATTGAATACAAAAAAGCACCCATGTTTAGTAATCGAATAATTACTTGAAGCATTTCAAATTATTTGAGGCACAACAATAATTCACGTGTATCGTTTTGTGTGGGCACACAATAACCAAAAATAAAAGCACATTTCTCTCGGAGAGTTGAAAATGACTAACAAGAAAAAGAGTTTTTCTATTTAATTAATATACAAATTGACAATTATAGTCATTAAAAGTAAAATTTCTAAAGAGCACGGGTAGAGCAACGTTAAGTTTGTGTTTTCAACAAAGTTTACAAAAACGTGAGACCTTTAACGTGAAACCTTGTGTGGTATAAATGTAACAAAAAGGTAACTTTTTAAAAAGCAGGCTTTTCTGTTAAATGGTTTCAAACCGTATTTGTAGGTAGACAAGTTCGTGAAAATTAATAACAAGTACATTGTACAAGTTGCATTGATAAAGATTTGCCTCCAAAGTTATGTTGAACCAATTTTGTTCTAACAGTTTTCGAAGTGAAACTCTAAACAAAAAGGTGTCATATTTTAATTTAGTGCCTCCTAGTTTGGCACTAAACCTGAAGAAACTTGGTTGTTGTTTACTTAATTTGTTATAATCCAAGGTAACTTTCCAAACCAGAGTTCATAGGTTTACAGACATGCTGTCATCTCCTGATAGCTTTGTGTTTGAAGGACCCTTGGAAAACCTTCACGGCTCCCCTTGTGAATTTGGATTGTACTTGAAAGAGTTCCAGTCTCATGACCTTTGATATTAGTGGCCTGGCATGAAGCACCATGAACCCTTTTTCCTTCCCCAACTGTCTGTGACGTCATTGGATATACCTGTCATAGCCCTGAAGCCTGTTGCCATTTTGAGAAATTATCTCTCCTTCCATTTCAAAATAGAGCAACTTTTAGGTCCACTGTCATCCACGTTTTCTGCGAAATATGAGCTAAAAGTCTAGTTCAGAGCCGGGACCTGTACTCACTGCAACTTTTAAGTGGGGGGGGGGGGGGGGGGGGAGTACAAAACTCCCTATTAACCCTAACCCCTTGGGCTCTTTTACTAGAAAGTATCCTGAATCCACCAAAATCCATCAATTTTGTCATGCATGTTGTGGTGGCCAGTGAGTCCATCAGAATCCACCAGTTAGGGGGAAGTAAATCTGTTGAGATCCTGAATCCGCCAAAGTCCCCCAACAGCTCAATATAGAAGTTTCCTGAATCCATCAAAATCCTGCAGTTCCGCCAGGCTTACAATCCTAAATCCATCAAAATCCCCCAGTTTGTGTAATATTTAGGTATCCTGAACCTGCCGAAATCCCCCGAAGCAGGGGTGTGGATTTTGATGGATTCAGGCACGTTACTCGTTAGGGTTAAAAGAAAAAAACTGAGGGCATTCAAATGGTGATTTGGTTGGCACAGGCAGTTTTCGGCCTAGCCAGTAGTCTGCAACCTGAGAGAGTTGCTTCCTCTGCAGTGTCAGTGCTGAGGTTCCCGTACTGACCTTGCCACCCTCTTCAGCCGTTCGTTCGTTACCCTGAGGGAGGAGACAATGAAGCAATTAGAACCAATTATCCAGACACCTTGAAATGAAAACAACCCTCCAGACATGACCTTACAGTTGACTTGTGTTAATTTCAACTCGGGTAGGGGAGACATTAGTGCGAAAAGGCCGTACGAGGTGAAAGAAAATTCATAAACTTTTTCAAGGAAGGCATGATGAATTTGACAAAATAATATGCAATTCTTTTCATGCCTGATATGTAATCCCACCCCCACCCTGGATTCGTACCCCCATTTTATCTTTGGAATAAAGCAAGTCCTAGCTTCATTTCCTAACAATGCCTTTCTGTCATTCAACTTATTTCTCTTGTCATGACACACCCATGTCCATGTGGCTATCACAGCTGCTGCTTCATCAGTCTCAATTCTAACCAAACCCTTAATCGGTGTTGTTTTATCCACAGCCTACGGCAGGCCTGCTGCCTTACATACACAACCTGTCCTAGCAATTATCTTCCAATTAGAACCGCAGTCAATGTCAAAACAATGCCCTGTGGATAGAACAGAAACCCTGCTTCCAAGTTGGTCTTCTGGAAAATAAACTTGCCTTTGGGGCCTTATTTTCTTCAAATTGGTCATGTCATCGGGTGGGTGATAATAACTACTTGGTTTTGTTTTTGCTTTTTTTTGTTGCAGGGAGGACATTTGCAGGTCTGCCTTTGATTGTGACACTCTAGGTAAGACTTAACCTTCGACATTACCTGTAGTTTGTTGATTGTTTCGTGGTTTAACCTTAACTCCCAAGGGGGTGTGCAAAATCATTTTGAAATTGGAGGATTCAGGACTGTTAGGGCTATCCAGAGACCAGAAAACTAAAACTTCAATGATATCCTTGAAATGATTGAATTAAATTTTGCTTCATGCAAGTTTTAAAAAAATGCTTTGAAATCTTCATTTCAATTTTATCCTCGGGATTCACTGCTAAAAATCAGTATAGAATTAGGTTCTTTTCTCGTGCTCTTGAAACATTTTTCTTTAGAATGAGACAAGAATAATTCTTTTTTGGTTTTTTTTTTTTTTTTAATATTTTCGGAAAACACGTTTTTAGTAGTGAAGTAGTGACAGTGGATTGGGAGTGAAGTTATAGTTAACAACTGCCTGTCCATTCCACCACTCCTGTTCTAGCCCCAATCTAGCTGAAAATTATGTTTCCATGAATTACACCATTATTCTAATAATTTGAGGACACTAGTTTTTAGAAGTTCATTATGGACATTGGAAGAAATAATTGACTCACACCATCTTAACATACAGTACATGTATTCACAAATCTGAACAGGCTATTGTGGGGTAGAACACTCTAATGCCAAATTTAAAAAAGTAGAGTTTCTCTTCTAGGCTTTTTTCAAAAAAAGGGAGGAGGCTGGCCCTTGTATTCTTTAAGATGGGAGATTTTCAAAGATGGATTCTTCCAATTTTCTTGACTCTTTTAATTTGCTGATATGTTTGTGTCCAAGGGAGCTGCTTCCCCTTTCTTTTACCAGATTTTGAACTCGCATACATGTAGGTACAATTTATCTGGAAACACATAAAAATACAAAATATATTGCAAATGTATGGTTAAAAAAAGGGGGGTTTGGAAGGAGGCTGGTGGCCAAAAAAATAAGCTGGCGGGGACGAAAACATTGTTTTATTTTTTACTTGGCCTGTAAAGTCTCCTGAAAAAAAAAATCACCCCAATATCTTTTGATTCTTTGTTTGCGTGCTCTCATAATATAAGTACCCTTTTCTTCATCCTGAAATCCTGACATTTTCATCTGTTTCCCTTTATGACCATTTGACACAGTGACCTTCATATTAAGGTGGTCTGGCATATGAACCTTAACTTGGCCTGCAAAGGGATAAGTCCATTTCTCAACCCATTTTGGTTCTCAAAAACCTGTTTGTCTCAAGTCCAGTTTATACTTGTAATACACATCAGAAATGTGTAATGGGCCCTTACTCCGTCCCAGGGTCATATGTACATACATAAGCCAGCCCACCTCAATTAGGCTCAAGGTTGATGTGGGATCAAAAAAGAGTGTTAATAAAATTTAAAATGGCTCTTGCCGTCCCAGTGGGGTTGTATACTAAGCCCTGGGGAGTTTCCTCCTTAAACAAAAATGTTGGTCACAATGTTTGGCTAAAATTTACACCACAACACACTCAAGCTGTGATCAAACAAGGCAGGCTGCTGTTGGGCCACAGTGAAATCTGTGGTCCTGAACCTGTCAAAACTGGCCTCAACTGGATCTGTCTTGTTTCAACCGGGGAACAAGATCTGTCTTTGCTCAAATCTAGGACCTCTATGGAGATGTATTGTTTTCATGGTTATTGTGACCTGGATTTTGGCTGGAGTGGTTTGAAAAAATTTGTGGTTGGGGACCGAGTGTGATGTATGGATTTCTTGCTGATAATTTTAGAGGTTAGAGGCTGGATACTTCTGTGTGGTAAAAGATTAGCGGGGTCAACCACCTAGAAGTCAAACCGAGCAGTTTGGTAGAGTAAGAGGTGGTAATGGGCCATGGCATTTTAAACAAAAGATCCATTATCTGATCTTCGAGGAAACAAATCGGGATAGAAACAGTATCCAAGAGGCATAGTTCGCAATCTGATTTTGATCTCACTTGTGACTGAGAGAGTTTTGTATTCAAATGATTCAGGGGTCGATTCCTATAAACCATTGTAAATTGAACACTTGGCATTAACACTTGTTTGGAGATTAGTCTCTAGTTCTGTAGGGAGTGAGAAGACATTCAAACCACCCCCCCTCCCCCATCTACAAGGTACATGGTACCGCCCCCCCCCCCCCCCCCCGCCCCACTGCACCGTGTTATTGCCCCTCCCCCAGTAGTCAAGAACACATATCTACAACCACATGGGTTTAAACTGACATCCCCTTATATTGGAGCCCATAATGGCCCCCAGCCCAAACGGAACAAAACCTAGAATATGCCATCTCAATGTGGAGGACATTTTCATGAACTTGACGATGCTGAACAGAGATATGGTGAAGCAAAACAACAACTCGGTTGCTTGTATATAAGTCAAACACTTGGGTAGTACCATTATCACTCAAACAAAAGACAACTTCTGGGGAACTCAAGCTCTATCAGTGAACTCTCTTCACGAGTTATTTTGTCTGATAGTTTTCTGTTTTGATTGACTTTCTTTGCAGGTTTGGCTGAGCTGGGTACAATGTGCGATCCATTCCGTAGCTGTTCCATAGTGCAAGATAACGGACTAAGTGCTGCATTCACCATGGCCCATGAAGTGGGGCATGTGTAAGTAGACAGACATTTACACGAACTGTATGTGATTTTTTCGCCCTGATTAGGATATAGACTCCGTGCGTGAACAGTAGATGGTGGTCATGTGACCAGAGTTGTAGTCAAGTACTTTCCGAGTACCAGCTTAGCTACCAGAGCTTATGATAGTTTGGTATGGAGAAAGCTGCATAAAGCAGACACTGAACAGTAAATCCCCACCAAAAGAAATTAAACACTTTAGACAATCAGAATCTTGTACGAACTCAGCTTTTAAGACAAAATACTCAGAAAGTACTCACCGAGTACTTTTCAAGTACTTTTTGGGTACTTCTGACCCAAAAGGTTAATTAAAAAAAGGTTTTATGTAACCAAAGTCTCAAATTAATTTGTTCTCTAACAATGACTTCATTTTGCTGTCTACTGTCAATGTTTCTCTTGCGTTGTTTGCAAGAAACAGCTCAATACTTGGTAATAAACAAAGTTCTCGGAAAGTACTCGGCTACAACCCTGCACGTGACTACTTTCGAGAGCCGCCAGTGGAGGGACATACCATGTGAATGTACTAGTTCATGCTCATTTGGCGTGAAGAATGCACAACTAATTCTGAATCTGCAAAAATACAAAACATCTTTGCGATAGCTTCAGGCGCCATCCAGGGCTAGATTATCCAATAGGCACAGTCGGCACTGTGCCTATAGGGCCTACGAATAATTTGAGGGCCTACGAATAATTCAGGGTCCTACGAAAATACTATTGTGCATACATGCACACACACAAGTGTGTTTTTGCCTGCAATCGGGGACCCCCTATTGTCCCTCTTTTGTTTGTACTACTAACTTTTTAAGAAGACCTCCCATATGTCTGTACACGGATCCAAATAGGGAACCTCTCAGGAATTGGGGACTCTATTGTCCTCTATTGCTCAACATCCCCTAGAATGCAGAAACAAACTCCCATATACAAATCCACACAAACACAACAAATGGTTGATTACGTGGTTTTCACGAACTGACACCCACTTGTGCACAAGTCTCAGTTTGTGATGTCGGTGATGATACGTACATCAGGTGACATTTAGACCAGTTATTTGTTTAGGTTAAGCAAACATTTTCCGTGCTTAGTACATTTCTGTGCTTACACGTACATGTAGTAGCTCCTTGAACTTGACCCCTTGTTATTGGATGACATCATCTATGTATAAGTTTCATGCTCTTTCCTGTTTCCGACTTTAATCTTCAATTCCCAGCCAGTTTAATACTAATCCTCCTTCCTTCAAGACAGATCTTGTCATGAATCATTGAGACACGATGGTTCCCTTGTGCCAATGTTTGTCCTTGACTTTCATTGCTGTCTTATCAATCCACCTCCACAACATGTTTCTCCCCTAAATTTAGGAAAACGGGCTGCATTTAGGATGTTGTCATGTGAATCATCTTGATCCATCATAATCATTCAGAAGGGTGCACACAATTTCATTTTTTTGGGGAGAGGTTACTTTTAGGGGGGGGGGGGTATGTGTTGAAAAAAAAAGGAATTCAGAAAAATTGGGAATCCTCTTTGACAAAAAAAAAAACTTTTAATAAGTATGGGAATTGGTCAGCTTTTCCACTTCTGATGTAAATTATTTTTTAGATTTTTCTGTGGTTCAGTACATTGAAAGAAGTTTGAATTTGCATAAACTTGAAGAATATTCTTTAGAATATCTTTCAGGGGTGTGAAATCTCTTTAAAGCTTTAAAGCTGATTTCAGCTTTTTTTGGTGTTGGATTTCAGATTTTTTTTCCAGCTTTTTCCCTCACTTGCTGTGTAGAAAAGTATGGGAGATTTCCAAAGTTCAGCTTTTTTACACCTTTTTAAGCTGTTTTCAGCTATTTTTATCAGTGGTCACTCACACCCTTGAATCTTTGTTAGTTATTAACAGCAGAGCCTTTTTTTTGGTTTTACTTTGCAGTGGTGGATCTAGGGGATAAGGGGTTAACACCTCCCTCCCCCCCCCCCCCCCCCCCGGGCCTGCTAAACCTCCCTTTTGACAGCTATCCCCCCCCCCCATTGATCGACCCTGCCTTGCCTTGATTAAAATTGAGACATTTTAGGAGGACAAGCTTTAAAACAGAAGAAGGCATTCTCTCTCTCTCTCTCTTTAAGATGTGGATTCCACAAAAAAAAATGTGCCCCCCCCCAAGAAAAAAGTATATAGAGCTAACAACTCTATAGAAAAATCCACTGGGAGTCAGCTGCCTGACTTCCAGTGCACTCTGAATGTTTCCGTAATACTGTTTTCCTTTGCATCTGGTACTCCAACATCACGCTGACATTTCCAATCTCCGTATATCCCTATTTGATTTCCCCTACTCTTGCCGACAGGAATCAAATTGCAGTGATTCTAGCATTTAATGTCACATTTGGAGCATGGTCTTTCGTTTAAGATACATGAATGAATGTTGCAAGGGGCATGGCTTGGAACTGTCGGAAGTTCTTACACAACTCATTCATTGAGCTAGATCCCATGGCAATCAAGCACCGACCCAGAATTGCTGGGGGAAAAAATGGGGAGGGGGCAGGTTCCACAGAAAGTTGTAAACTCCTCCTCCCCCCCCCCCCCCCTATTTTTAAAAAATTAATTTAGAGTCAAAACCTGCTGTTAGCATTTACGGAAGGGGAGGCACTGAAAAATTGAGGCGAAACCGGAACATACAAGAAGGGCATAAAATGTGATGCGATCAAGCTAAATGAGTCGTTTGTCAACCCCGGTCAAAATTTTTTATTACAGATTTGAAAAGAGCACAATCTCAGCATTACTGCTGTGAAAACTGCATGCTGATACCATCTTTAGTTTAAAAATTATGGAAGTCAGAACACCAAGAGATGTGATGAAGTGATGTGAAGAAGTGGCCCTATTTTGACCTGTATCTCCAAATGAAAATTCCCGACAAACGACTCATGTAGCTTGATCGCATCACATATTTGCTCATGTGGGTGACAATTTCTGTCCTTGAAGTGATTAAATAACCAGTTGACAGTATAAGAAACGGGGGTGGGGGGGGGGTGGGGGGGGGGAGACAAGACATACCTAAAAAAAAAGGGGGGGCGGCTGGCTGCGCCCCCTCTGGATCCTCTGAAAAATGTGACTCTGAAAAATGTGACGTTTTTGTCTAAATTTTATCTACGAACGTTCACATTTGTCATTCAAATATAATCAAACTGACTTGAAATTAATTTTGCTTAAAAAAATCTCTCTTGGACTGGAAAAAGAATGCATTACAGAGTACAAGTACATCCAGAATTTCCATACCCATGTCGGATGGAACAAGGACGAGTAAAAAGTGGACTCCAGATCGACCCACTTTTTGTCCAAATTTTATCTACGAACGTTCACATTTGTCATTCAAATATAATCAAAATGACTTGAAATTAATTTTGCTTTAAAAAATCTTTCTTGGACTGGAGAAAGAATGCATTACAGAGTACATGTACATCCAGAATTTCCAAACCCATGTGGGATGGAACAAGGGCGAGTAAAAAGTGGACTCCAGCTTGACCCACTTTTTGTCCAAATTTTATCTACGAACGTTCACATTTGTCATTCAAATATAATCAAAATGACTTGAAATTAATTTTGCTTTAAAAAAATCTCTCTTGGACTGGAGAAAGAATGCATTACAGAGTACAAGTACATGTACATCCAGAATTTCCAAACCCATGTCAGATGGAACGAGGGCGAGTAAAAAGTGGACTCCAGATTGACCCACTTTTTGTCCAAATTTTATCTACGAACGTTCACATTTGTCATTCAAATTTAATCAAAATGACTTGAAATTAATTTAGCTTTAAAAAAATCTCTCTTGGACGGGAGAAAGAATGCAGTACAGAGTACATGTACATCCAGAATTTCCAAACCCATGTCAGATGGAACAAGGGCGAGTAAAAAGTGGACCCCAGCTTGACCCACTTTCAACAAGTCCAATTAATGGATCCCTGCAGTAGCAACCAAGCCATCCCAACAGTTGATCCCAACACTTCAGGCCTAACATTTATACTCAATCAAACATTACTTGCATCCTTTCTGCAATCCTATTGCTAATTAAGCATGAAGCTAGTGGCCAAGTGGTTAATCCTCCCCTACCAATCACCTGCAGGGTGAGGATTGATGGTCAAACAGCTGGGAAGCCTGCCCTTCAGGGGAGCTCACTTCCTAACAAGTGACGAAAATTGCAGCTCCACAACATTACTTGAAGCATATAGCAAGGTTCCTTGCTCTATGCTTGAAGAACCCACTCTCTCAAAATAGAATCTTGTTGTGAGCTGTAGTCTGTTCACAGTAGCACGATTTGAGGATTTTTTTTTCTTAAAGGGAAGATACAATATTTGCAAACATCAAAAAACGAAATGATCAAATTATCTCGAAATACATTACCAGATTGTTAGGGAATGACAGTCTAAAGCATCCTGTAAAATCGTGGCTCCTGGTGTGCTGACATTTTCAAGAAACTTTGTATTTGCCAATGCTGGTCGGACGGCCAGCGTTTAATTTGGAGAAAACTGGCTTATTGTCAAAAACTGCTCCTATTTTTTTCATATTTAGTTATTCCGCATTTTCTTTGCAATTGATCACACACCTGTGAAGGGGCACAAGCCTCTAGACTGATTCTCTGACCTTACAATTCCCCAAAGTATATAAATTGCTCCGTTTCATCTTAAGTGGGGTCAGGGAACCAGACTACAAGAACATGATTGGTTTTCTTGTTTTTTCCCCAGCATCTACAAGCCCAAAATGTGAAACAAGTCAACAATATTTGCTATAACATACTAATCCTCCAAATCCATTTATTTTTGAAAATTGCAACAAAAGCAAATGTTGTACATTCCCTTTAAAGGGAATATACATCATTTGCTTTTGCTGTAATTTTCAGAAATGGTTGGAATTGGGGGGTTGGAAATATAAAGCAAATATAGTTACACTGACTTTTTGGAGGTTTTGGGTTCGAAAATGCTATAAAAACCAAGAAAAACGATCATTTTCCTGTAGTCTGGTTCCCTGACTCCATATTAGAAGAAACAGAGCAGTTTACATACATTGGGGAATTGTAAGGTTAGGGAACCAGTCTAGCTGGCTCGTACCCGTTCATAGGTTTGTAATCGATTGTAAACAAGTGCGATGGTCAATTGGGGCCAGTATTTGAAAAAAAAGCCAGTTGTTTCCAACGCTGATCGGCCGATCAGCGTTGGAAATTGATACAAAAATAACACTTTTCTTGAAAATGACAGTATACCAGGTGCCATAATTTTACAGGATGCTTTAGACTGTCATTTACCAACATCCTATTAAGGTATTTCGCAAAAACTTGGTAGTTTTATTTTTCGATGTTTGCAAATGTTGTATATTCCCTTTAACAGTGGACTTTCATACAAGCAAGAAAATATAGTAAAAAAAAAAAAAGCCCCCTCCCCCAACTAAAAAAACTAGCTTCTTGTGAGCTTTGATTTATTCACAGTAGCATAATTTAAAGAAAAATCTTCGATATTTGACATTTCAACGATCTGTTAAGTGCCCCTCATCAATTTGCACTTCATTAATTTTTCTTCAGGTAATTGCTTTGCCCTTGCCAACTGATGTGAGTTTCAAAGTGACAGTCTTCCCATGAAGTTCTGAAAAGGGATATTAAGTCCGAATTTCAGCCAAGGAAATTAATTCTGGTTAAAATAAGAGCATTTTGAAACTGTACTTTCAAACTCGAAAACTTTAGTACACGAGAACAAAGAAATGTCTCCACAAGGATACAAATTTCAGTATTATAGTAGGACAACTGTGTGTGATTTCAATTGGGCCGCGATCAGCAAATGGGTCTTATTTCATGGCTCTACTATTGGCTCTAGCATTGAATTCTGTCCTTGTCTTTTCCATTCTTTGCCAAAGTTCCTTGCTAAACTGAAAAAAAAAATTGCTTACAATATGAATAGTAAACAAGCGTATGCAGCAGAATCCTTTTGGTATTAAGCAGAGCCATGTTGGAGTACATTGTAAGGCCCTATCTATAGTTTATGTTCTTTGAAAGAACCATTCCAGATGCACAAAACATTTTAATCTCAGCTTTGTGAGTTACTCACAGTATACTGGCTTTTGAAGTTGTAGATAGGAAATGGGAGAGCCAAATAAAAAAAATGACTAGTTGAAGACATCATATTAAAAATGTTTGTATGTATTTTTGGCATTTAAACGAAAGATAAGCTTGTATAATTACGGGGACAAATAACTTCAGTGGGGGGAAAGGAAAATGGTTGACAGTCATTTGAAAGCCCCTCCATCTGTATAACCATGCCTGCAGGGTGGGATTGGAACCACAGACCCTAGAATCCATGCAGGATAAACCCAACCCAACCACACCTGTGTTCCAGTCTTATACTCAGTCAATACCCATGCCCCCTAGGTCCCTGATCTTTCCCACTTGGTAATTCAATAATTTGCCTGGATTGGTTTTACATTCCACAACCTTGTCCAGCCAATTTGCCAATTATGAGTCGAGTCACTTGCCTTAAATTCCAGAAATTGGGCCGAGTGACAGCATAGGTTGTTAGTGCTCTGCAGCGAATAGCCATTAACCCAAGTGCTGTATTATCAGCAGTCAATTCAGATGTTGTTGATGTACCCTAACGTGGCGCAGCCCCTAACGTGGCGCACTTTGATTTTTCGCCTGTAGCGCCTAGCTAGAGCAAAAGTTTTAACTGAAATTTCACAGAAAGTGAAATTTCATCAAGTTCTAAACACTCCCGTTCATAAATCGCGAGTTTATTTTGGCGTGATTTTCCGATTTTATTTTCAAGTGCAAAGTGAACCCTTTGAAAATGCCCCGAAAAATAAGAAAATAATTTTCTGACAAACATCTGGCTGGGTTTGTAAGTAAAGATAATAATGATTTATCAGAATTTATAAAGTTTACAGAAATTCTTAAATGTTAATTTGGAATTTTCCGAGATTTATTCAAGTGCGCCACGTTAGGGAACACTCCGCCAATTTGTGCCCAATTTCCGGACGCGACCGTTTTTGCATTTCGGATTAAATTTTATGAAACCGAAATTGTTCAGAGAGGTTAAATAGCAAGCACTAAAAAGGTAAAAGTACCAGTATTTCACTGCATGATTTTGAGGTTTATCAACAAAGAGATTTGGCAACACTACACGAGGAAAGTTGGGTAAGCTTCGAAGTGCGCCACGTTAGGGAACACGACTATACATGTAGAAGCAACTCTGAGCAAGGAACAAGATAAAATGGTTTTTGGAAATTAGTTTAAAATGGCAATATAATTTTAGGGGAAACAGATTGTGTGATAAATGATTTATGAAGAGCCATCAGCCTGGGGGTTTGGTCGGTATCAAATGAGGGGAATAATGCTCATTGTGTTTTTTGGCAAGGTATTCACCCCTGTAGTTGGAAAATATGTGATAGCATTGCAGCGGTGGCAGCTTTTGGAGTGCGATCACTTTTTTTTAAATGGCGACCAAAACATGCTTGTTGCCACATATTATTAATCCAGTAACAAGCATATTGGCGGCCATTTGGAGAAAAAAAAATTAAAAGCGATAACACCCAAAAAACTGCCACCGCTCACACTGCAAAGCTATCACACATTTTCCAACTCTAGATGTGCATACCTTGCCAAAAATCGCTATGAGCATTGCTCCTTTCGATTGTTTGATACCGATGGCCCAAGTTTTGGACCGAAGCTGATAGCCTATAATGGGAAGGGGTGAAAATTAGACACAAAAGATGCTTGAACAAAATGAACCAGCACTTTTCATTCCGAGCATACATACAGTGTCGATTTCCTTATGGTGCAGACAACAGTAAATGAAATTGACTGCACATCCGTAATTTAAAAAAAAAATTTGCAGACAAAGGTTGTAAAACAGTTACAAAATTTCTGATTTTTAGCTGTAATATGACCCTCTTGAATGACTGAATGGTTGGGCAAAATATGTTATTGTAAGTTGCTGGCTCTATGCTGTTTTTTAGCTTCGAACATTCATTTGTTTAGAACTATCTTCATCGGTGCAAGTGAATGCATTGGGCACTGATGTCAACTCACAACAAGTTGATTTTGAAACTACAACCACACATTGTCTAATTTGACTTACATCAGGCACATTCGCAGTCATGTACATGTACACTCATTTTCCCTTCATTTTACAAGGGATATGATTAAACCAATAATTTATTCAAATCTGTGTTAAATCCCTGCTTGAATATTGACTTGAGGGCCACCCAGAAACTGTCTCATAAAAAAAACATGACAAATGCTGAAGGTGAGATGCATAAAATGTTCACATCGGAACAAACAATTTCCACTGTTGTTTTAAAAGTGCATAGACCTAAACTTCCCTCATTCCCTCACTAACTCTCATGTAGGCCAAACCCACTGCATAAACCAAACATTTGTGAATTCTGATTCAGGCAAAACTGCATCATTGAAAGCAACTAGCGCAAGTCTATCAGCAAACAGGTCTCCATATACATGTAGTTTATTACTGGATATGGAATGAGTTTGACCTTATCCCGACCCATACAAATTGGAGTCTTTTTTATTGGTGGTGAAATATAAACAAAAGCTTCGACTTGTTGATAGAGCTATCATGTTTGGAGTTTCTGTTGAATTTTTTGTTTTTGTTTACAAATATGATATTAGTGGGACATGCCTCAGTGACTGTTTATGAAACGCATGCCTTGTTCCCACTTTGCAAAACTTAACGTGGAATGATACGAACCAGTGATTATCTGAATTGTAAGGTATGGGGGGGGGGTACAGTTGTATATGTTGTCCCTAGCAGGACACAACAGACAGCACTGAACACACACTAATCATAACATATAAGTGTAAAACACCACATTAAACTACTCCCAACCATTCTTGAGAGATCAACTTTCCTATATTCCACCCTCATTTTTCAGCACAAATAAGGTTAACCCATACTAAATGTTCTAATTTCTGTAATACTCATATATTTCTCTCGTTTTTGCCTGCAGTTTCAATCTACCTCATGACGACAACACCAGATGCCAGGAGTTTTCCGAGAACTTGTCGGGCAAGTACGGCGTGATGGCCCCGACGCTCAACTACCAGATCAACCCCTGGACCTGGTCCCTCTGTAGCAAGAACAAGATCACAGACTACCTCGAGTAAGCTCAAACTGCTAACACCTACTGAATCATTGGTTCTCTCCTGTGCCACGAGGATTTTTCTCCGGGCCCTCCGTTTTTTTTTCTCCCTCTGGAGAAATCAAACACTTTCGATCTCAGGCTGTGCTCCGTGGTCATATATGGGTCGATGTGGCCGGCAGCCATAGGCGCCTTCATGTGCCAGCGGCCCGACCACGTTGTTGCCGCGTCCTTCGCAATTCAGCATCCCAGCTGCGAGTAAGGATGATTAGCCTCCCAAATTATTGTCATTGGCATAACTGAAGGGTGCATGGGTCCCTGCTGAAAGCCTGGCCCCCTCCAAATTTAGGGAAGATAAAATGTGCTTTTTTGGTTACGAATCCCATAGAATACCCCACTCAAGAAAATGAGGCACCATTGCCCCTTGCAAATTTGACCCCAGTTATGCCACTGTGATAGTTGACCATTGTGAATCAATTTTAGTCACTGCTGTGTTTTGGTGCAAGGAGATGTAAGCATGCAAGATACACTTTTAAGGTGTTTTTACATAAAGTGCCACTTAAAGTGCAGTGAAAATTTACATTTTGTCTTCACAAAGCATCGTTTTGACATCAGTTTTCAGGACAAATATGCCTGAATGTCCTTTCTTCAAAATCTCCCATTGAGTTGAAATCAAAACGTGACTCATTTCTCTTGACTACTCAGAAATGTGTGCCAGCGTTCAGTGGAGAATCGCAATTACCACCAAATGAAAAAAAATAAAGGGCACCAAAAAAAAAAATCAACCAATTTCCTTTCCGAAACTGAACATTCATCCATCCTTGATAGTTTCATTAGTCTGGATCAGAATTTATAATTCAAAAAATGTGTTTTATAACCTAAACAAAAAGTTTTCAATGTCAACAAGCACTCTAAAGTTTCTTGACTTTGGAAATCCTTTCTTATTCAACAGAGAAATTCGAGTCGACGTTTTTGACCCAAATGTCAAAGGAATCATGAGGAGGTCTTTTATCTTTGATTTGTTTTTTCTCTGACAACTTGACCCTTGACTCACAGTACACTGACGTTGAGTAAAATCAGCACCTTCTTAAGATGATGGTAAACTAATTACTTGTAATCAAAACTGTGATGATGTTGTGTGAAATAGTAAAATGTTACTCATTATTCACTCCGTGCACACTTTTTTAAAACCCACCTTCATTGATTGATTTCTTCCGAAAGATTCAATTTCAGGGGGAATTATTTCACATGGTATTTTGGTTAAAGCCCCAGTCACACATTCACGGTTTGGAGCTACGGATCTCCACGGTTTGAAATTCGTGGTAAACCATGGGAGTACCGTATTCATCCTTAGTACATCCGTGGTTATCCGTCATCTTCCTTGGGTATTCGTGGAGGGGCTACGGAAGTTTTGAAACTGTTCATAACTTCCGTGGTGAACCGTCATGAAAATTAATCCGTAGTGCAACCGTGGGACATCCGTAGGATAACCGTATTTATTGGTAGTGTTATTCATGGCTATTCGTGCATATTCTTGGAGATTCGTAGCTCATTTTGTGGTAGAAATCTCTACAAAATTGCTACGAATGTTCTACTGATATGCCCGGATGTGCTAGGGTTCTGCTAAGGTTGTACTACGAATAGCCATGCTTTATTCGTAGGAGAACCTTGGTCATCCGTGACCCAATCGCAGACAACCGTGGCATTAACGTCATTACTCTTAGTAATACCGTTGATATTCTTCACCAATCCGTCCATTTTTTTGGACAGACCGTGGTGTATTCGTAGAGAAACCGTGTGACAGTCGTGGCTATCCGTCCTGAAACCGTAGTGCATTTCTCCAGGAACCGCGACAGTTCATCGTGATCGATTGATTCTTGGTAAACCGTGGATATTCGTAGCTCCAACCATGAATGTGTGACTGGGGCAGTCCTTTCATCACATTGAACACGGTTATTTTCATTAGATCAGTAGGCCTGTTTTCGGGTTATCACCAAGGTTCCTTTATGCGTTGCAATGAGTACGGCCGTGCATCGGAACTGGGTATCCGAGTACCGACCGTTGATGTCAGGAACCGGTTCCAGATTATTGAATCGAGTACCCATAACCAGCTTTACAAATTACTTACTGACTTCTCATGCAGACAAAAAAAACCAGGCAACATGGGAAAACAAAACAAATTTCCTGTTTGCGACGCGTTATTTCACGTTTCAAGTTTACACCATCAAACTATGCTCCCTGTACACACTTGTATCCTGCTGTATAGACGCACCGATGTGGTAGTATTATCATGCAGACCTTTATGAACAATCTGAACAGCAACTTTTGTTTCTTTAATGGGTACCCGGTTACCCGTGTTTTTTTTTTGCAATCGGGTATCCGGTTCCTGTACTGCCCGTAAATGCACGCTCAAATATGTAGCAATGAGATGTGGAATTCATTGAACTCTCATTCAAATTCAATTTTTTACTTCGTCTCTAATTTGTTATAATTTTTCAATTTTAAAATATTTAAAATTTTACGCATCAAGTTTTTACACATGGTACATAAAACAGCAAAAAAGTGAGAAAAGTTTGAAAAGCAGTCCTCAGGAATCCTGACGCGCCATCTTGGTCTGGTTTCCTGAAGGCTTAAATCTTGGCATGGTGCTGATTCATCAATTAAGATAACATGTGCCAGCCTACATGAGTCTCTGCCCGTAAGCTGTGGGCTTATTATAGAATTATGATCAAGATGTTCAGGATGGCAGTGTTCATGGCTTGTAGAACATAAGAATTTAAATTTGTCCATTTGCGTTTTGTGGTAAAATGCTTGGAAAGTCCCCTTATACTATAGATGCAATCACCCAGGCATAGTTCTGAAGCAACTTTTGAAGCGGCTTTAAAAATATTTGAAAAAAGCCCTAGTTTTTTTTGGGTTGATCTGATTTTCCTGAGATTTTCTTTAAAAGAGGATTTTTTTTTTTTTTTTTTAAATCTTGAGTTTTTAGAACAACTTAGTAGAGAAATTTGAAGAGAAATACCAATGTTTTACTGAAGTAGTTGAGTCAAGTAAAAAAACTTAACGGAAAGAAAATGTACAAATTTCCTCAATATCACCTGTTCTGTATCATTTTCATCTTCACCTTAGACCCAATCTAGTTTCATTATACGGAAACTGAACCAGATGTTTTAATTGGAAATGTTAACAAGACTTAATTATTGATGAAGTCGGTCACCATTTTTTCCCCAGTAGTTTTTGTCCAAAAACTACTGGGAAAAAATACCTCAACAGCAGGAAAATTTATAACTTATTCTGTGTAAGCGCAACGACATATCCAGTGAGATATCCTTAAGAACCCAGACAGAATTGGCCAAAAGTTGACCAAAAACTACTGATAAAAAATACCTCAATGGCAAGAAAATGTATAACTTATTCTGTGTAAGCACAACAACATATCGGGTGAGATAACCTTAAGAACCCAGACAGAATTGGCCAAAAGTTGACCACTAAAACTACTGTTAAAAAAATACCTCAACGGCAAGAAAATTTATAATATATTCTGTGTAACTTGTAAGCGCAACAACATATCCGGTGAGATAACCTCAACAACCCAGACAGAATTGGCCGGAGGGGATAAAAGATATGGGTAAAAATGACCCAGCAACTCCTTACTTACAGTGGCAATAAAGAACACAAGCTGTTAACACGTCCAACAGGTGAGACGGAAATATGATGGTTTTTCAGACGCTAAAAGACCAGTCTACCTGTACCGAGGTCATCAAGACATCTAGTCAAATTTCTTGACCACTAAACTTTTCCTTTTAATACCGGAGCACAGAAATAAACCTTTGTTTTTGAATTGACTGCTGACCCTTTTCTTAACTTATTTAATATCTCCCTTTGGTCGCAATGGGTGTGTCTACTCATAAAAACCCTTTCTAAAACCTGACCCGATTTTGTTTCTCTTTTGGAAGAGAATTTTCTGTGTGGATTAAACATAAAATTGTACTAAGTGCTAATAATATTGGTATTGATTAAGGATTTGAACTCAGTTTTTGTCTTCCCAGTAACAGTACATACCTCCCCCTTGTAATTTGTCTAATAGTTGTTAATACTTGAAACAATTATTGGTTATTTGGAAATTAACAAACCACACCAGTTTTGAATAACGGGCTTGTATTAGTTGATTCTAATTTCTAATTTTGATTACCAACACTGGTGTAAAAAGGCTGCTTTTCAGAAACGCTCAAATCAAAATAGAATTTTTAAAATTTACATCATGGTCCAAACAAGTCACATCTGGCAAATAAGATAAAGATTGTATGAGCAAGTTGAAGTATTCTCCATCCAATAATAACCTAAGTTCTACATATGCCACACATTCACACAAGCAAACCACATTTCAGAAAGCCTCAAAACCTAAATATCAAACTTTTCACTTTTTTGTTAATCCACTAACATATTTTCCTCTTCCCTTGTTTTCCCTGATTTCTCCCCCTGATGCCATCAGCATGGGATACGGACAGTGTTTACTAGACTCCCCAACAGACGCCCAGATCTTGCCCAGTTACCAACCCGGCGAAGTCTACAACGTCACCAAGCAGTGTGAGCTGGTATTCGGCGAGGGATCAACGGTCTGTCCAATCATGGTAAGCAGAATCATGGAAATATATCATCTATGCGACCCGGGACGTTACCGTCGGTTACTTGCAGGCAAAACAGCTCCCTACACATATATGAACAGTAGATGGCGCTCTGTAACTATTTATGAGAGCTCCAGTGGAAGGCAGCGCTTGTGTTAACTTTTTTTTCGCATACAGCGCAATGTGTGACTACTTGTACTCTTATTGCACACTAACCTGTAGCACCATTAAAATGAGTAGCAGGTGCTGTTGGAAATGTATTTAAGTCATAAGAAAATCACAAGTCGTTCACAAGTCTGGTCACAAGTAACAGAGGATGAACACTAACAAAGGAATTTTTTTGTCACAGTTCATCTGAATAGCTTGGGACTCGAGGTGACTTGTGAAGAACTTGTAACGGAATTGTGAGGACTTGCGATTGAATCGACTACAGCACTGCATACAGTTCATTCCAAATGTGTTGATTCATTGCTCCGTTTTTGGTCGTTATCAAAGTGCATCTTACCCATGTGACCCCTGACCTGGTCGTCATTGAAACCCCCCCCCCCTTCTCTGACACCCTGGGGTGTCCCCAGGGTGTCTGGCAGGAAATCCCAACACGTTGACCCCCCACCGTTATCTCTTGGATCATTCAGTGGGTCGGTCATCTGTCAGGATTGGCCAGGGATCAACCAAGGAGACAGAGTACTCTCACAGCACTGTCTGTAGCTGTCATTGCTAGCAGCAGATTTTCATTTAAGATTGTAAACATGTACTTCAAATTGATTTTAGAAGAGTTTGACTCGGATAATGGCCCGAGCCAATGGCGAGGGTCATTATCTGCGTCCAGCTGGGGCCAATTTCATAGAGCTGCTTAAGCACAAGATTTGCTTAAGCACAAAAACGTCTTGCTTAATATAATCAGGTTACCGGCCAAAACTCCATGCGATTGTTATGCTAAGTAAACAACAGCTAAATACCAGTCACAAGCAATGTACATCACATGGAGTTTTGGCCGGTAACCTAATTTTACTAAGCAATGTTTTTTCGTGCTTAAGCAAATTTTCTGCTTAAGCAGCTCTATGAAATTGGGCCCAGGCCCTTAGCCAGTTTTTAACATACTTGTTTTATACCAGCCAAGCACATATTTATTCCCATTCATAAATACCTTTCGGACATAAAGTCAAAACAATACGAGTAAAAAATTCACAACTTTCCAATGATTTTGTACAACAATTTTACTTCATGTTTTGTGAAAAACCCCTCTGGCCATCTCTGTAGTATGTGCCTCTTGTACGCAGTGCTAAAAATCCCCTTATGTGGAAAGTGGCCCATGCGCGGTGCGTACAGCACGATGTGGCGCAGAACGCAGCTGTGTTTTACCGGTGGTTAAAAACAACCCAAGTGACAGGCTCTCCACCACTAAGAATTGGTAAATTGTCTCAGGTATTTACGAATGTGCATTGAAGACGAGCTATCTTCAAGTTTCACTCCTAAATATTAATTTTTTAATTTACCATTGTTTTAGCAATCCGAAAGTACTTCACTTTTAAAAATCCGACCCATGTTAAGTTATGAAATTTTTTAAATTATTTGTGTCCTAACAATAATTAAGTTTGCGCAGGATAGACTGGTTCCTCTCCTGCCCCCTATAGGGATTGATAATGTAGGGACCAGGAACCAGTCTACTTGCAGGGAGGATTTATTTATGCACATTAAAACTCAAAGCCTTTTTTAAAGTTTTTTTTTTCATAAATATAAAAATCTACAAGTGCAAGGATTTTTAACTGAGATTCTTATTCTAACTTGCTACAAGCATAGTTTGTGATCACTTTCCGAATAAATGTGTTACAAAATCTTTTCCTGGCATATTCGAAATGACACTTTTAAAAAACAAGTACATAGTACACATCTTGTTTTGTTTGCTATTAGTCATTTCCGAGTCAAAAACAGCCAGCAAAAAAAATCATGATTTCCGTACAAACGGGCCAATCTGAATCGTGAATAACTTTTGGAACAAATCACTAATTTGCGAGGAAAAGTATCATTAATATTCTGTCCAAAAAGAGCCAATAAATCAATGCTCACGCCCCACCTTGGCACCTGTTGGCATGAATGTGGCTTTTTTTTCCTGGGTTAATTTTCCTTCCTGTCGGAAAATTTCTGACAAGTCTGGAGCACCAGGGAAGCAGTAATGATACATTGCCTTGGGGAGCAATACGGGGGTAATTTGATTTTCTGCCTTTTAGCGCTGATCTAGTTGAGAGCATTGCCATGCTTTTCCTGGTCAAAAGAAACAGAGAAAACCAGGTCTATGTACAAATTGGCGTTTTACGAACCTTCTAAGTTTTTTGTCACTTCTCAGGTCAGTTTTGGGGTCAAAATGGAGTATTTAATTCCATGGCTATTACCCTGGAATCTTGCACGACTTAAAATCTAACAAAAAAAGTACAGTTATAAAATAGGGATGCCAAAAATTGTGCACAGAATTGATAATATTTTTTTCAGATTCAGTCATTGGGATCAGTTGTTTTCATAATATCACAAGAAAATAGAATCTATAACTTGTAAATCGTTGTGTCAGTGCAACAAGGTCGTAACTCCGTTCTGCAACGAAGTCGTATCTCGCGCGAATACGCTCCGTGCAACAAGGTCGTATCTCGACGTCCATTGACTTCGTGTGTACATCCGGGTTATGTTAAGTGAGATACGACCTTTTGACATTCTGAAACTCGCGTTTCACGTACGGCCCATTTTAGGAGATACGACCTTGTTGCACGGGGCACAACGAAATATAATACAGATGATTCAGTATCAAACCTGATTAAGGCCAATTGCATCTCAAGTAAAATTTTCAGTAAACAAAGGAAAACAAAACAAACTACAGTAAAACTAACAAACTATACTGAAAAAAGACGAGAAAAAAGGTGTAGCTATATTGTAGTTTCTGTGAGGACATCTTAGTTGTGTGTGTCCATACTAATTAAATTAGGCCAGAATGCTTTAATGTTATTTAGTGGGAATGTTTGAAGTATTAAGAATGTTTGATATTCTGTCAGTAAACGTCATTCTAGAAATACTAGCCGGCAATTGGGTTATAGGGTCTTCCCCCTCCTTTTTTAAACTTGCATTTTTATACTTGTACATATTACTTGTACTCATAACCAACATATTTCAGTTGAATGCAGGTTTAATAGATTAAAATAAAAATAGTAAGGCATCCTTTTTCTTCCCAATTTGTACTATTTACATGCCAATTTACTTACCAATTTAAGAACTATATGGCCTGAAATTGTGTTCCTTTTTCGCAGAGCGTTTACAATCCTAGAAATACAAAAATCACATCTGGAATACTAGTCATTATTCCTGCCTCGAGGGGGCTGGCCAAATTGCCATTTGATGAACGTTAACTGGGCATAATCTTGGATAGAAATTGGGATTTGATTGACTAGTAACCTAGTCAGCAATGGGGTTTGCTTTGGTGAGCTTTTCAGCAGGGGTTCCTGGGTCCAATATCCTATTTTTCTTGGATATACTTTGCTGACATGGATGTTTTGTAAGAGTTGAAACAATTCAACAGTGGTCACTTCCTTACTTGATTAACTGATTTAATGTTTTAAGAAATAAAAAAAAGAATTCCAAACAAACCACTAAGGAAAAATGAAAATAAGTAGTATTTTTCATCTCTGAGTGATCCCCGTTTGCTATTTCCCAGGTTTGTAGCTTGCTGATAATGCTAGCATCGTGACTTTGGGCGTGATCCATGGCTACATGACATATATGGGTTCACGGCTTCTGACTAGCCCCCCTTGAACAAAGACATTGACTAAATGGGGAACCACCAACATAGGGCTTGATAGCTCAGTTGGTAGAGCACCGGAACGGCAATCCGGAGGACGCAGGTTCAAACTCAGCTCCTCTTGATGTTTATTCAACTTTAAAAGTTAAAAATTAAATGTCCCGACATGCAGTATCAAAACTTTGCCTTTTCATTTTGTCAATTTTTTGATCTGTTACAGAAAACTTGCAATAGGTTATGGTGCACCGGTTCGTCGCAAGGCTCACGACGTGGGTGTCGAACCCAGCACATGCCCTGGGCAGACGGCACACCCTGCGGTCACAACAAGGTAATTCAGAACCTGCTTGAAAATTCATCTTTATTTATTCTTGGATAGCTTGATGGTTAAGTACTTGATTGTTTAAAAAAAAATTAAATTTGCTCTAAGAGTTTTTCGGCGAACACTAAATCAGCTGGCAATCTGTGTCATGTTGTTATGATAAAACTAATGTGTTTGGTTTAACATTCTAGAAATGATAAAGTCATTTTGCAGCGAGATGGGTAATTCTTAGTTCCTTTGTTTTTGTACATTTCTAGCTTTTTTTGTGGAATATTTCATGGTGTATAGGTGTATTCTGGTTTGTATTCATTTTTGGCAGTAATATTTCTTCAGTTCTACCATGTCAGGATCCTGAAGATAATGTGAAATTTCTGCTGTGATTATTAGCTAATGTTCGTCATCAGATAGTTTCACTAAAATGTCATCACTGTTATAGTTCAGTTAAAAAAAAGAAAACACTGAGTTTTCTCTTTTTCTTTTAACTTTGTATTGTACGGTAATATCTCTGCCATTTCCTCAAAATAAAGTGTCCATACTTAATTCAGTTTGACCATTTATTCCTCTTTAAAATTCCTTTACAACAAAAAGAAGAAATGTACAAGTAACTGCAGTAAATTGGAGAGGCAGAAACAATCAAGATTGATTGGGAACCAAGTTGTAGTGGACTGCAACTTGGACTCAGTCAAAACACCAAATTTAGTCCTAGACAAAATAACCAGAATGCCGTGGCCTCGTTAGCGGTGCACCTCCCCAGCCGTGCGCCTCCCCACAAAAATGTCCGGATATAATGTACTTGGCTCTCGTTCCTGTACAAATGACTCCGTGGAGACTATGTTGTGTGACACAAACTCGATCGGATTTCTCGCCAATTGCCCGGACCTGAAGACATGAATGTTTGAGCCCATTACCGGAAACTCAATACCGTTGGATCTCGGTCTAGGCTTCCCCAGTAAATTGAGGTATCGTGAGGGAACAGGGTTAAAGTAGCTGTCCGGTCCTGACTATAAACAGCCTACTTGTCTCCCAAGTAAATCTTGGAGTAAGGGTGCATTTAAGGAGATTTTTTTGTCAAGGTAAACTTTGAACAGTTTTAGAAACTTGAAAAAGCACTGCATTGGGGGGGGGGGGGGTGGGCCTAGAATGCTTCAGTGCTCTGATTGGAGCAAGAAAAGTGAACAGTGTCTTAATAATTTGTGGGTCTCGCCACAAAGTGACTTATCGTGTGCACACACTCTATTGACTTTGCGTCATGAAGTGATGCAAAGAATGAATGAAAGGATGAATTGTACACTGGCATACCCTTTGATTATGTGGACAGCATTGAGGCTTGTTATCTCTCACAGAAACCATTTATTCACCATTACAAAATAAGAGTTGATTCTGAAAATAGATATTTGATGAGAATAGGTCTTGATGCCTCCAACTGTGTTCTCCCACAGTCACTCTTCATTAGAATGACACACACCTCTTCAGAGAAGAGATATTGCACGTGCACCCGCAAACCTATCAAGGTGCTTTACATTATTACCCTGCTCATTGGGCCAATAAAACATTCCAAAGACATCTCAGCTCCCTGAGGAGTATTGGCTCGATGCTACCATTTCGACAAAGCAGCTAAAATCAATCACACAGTGCGCCTTTCAAATCACACACAGATATTTGATTTTGTGAAGGGAGGGTGACATTACATGTTTTAACTGCAGTTTAACTAGCCGCTTAACACTTAAAAGTAAACAATTTGATGCAAAATATTAATAAAAACATTCATTACATTGGCCTCACAGCTGGATTTAGTTTTGAAATTCATGTTTGAATTTTCTTCAGTGGTTTTGTAAGGCTGTTTTCCATATTTGTACCATAATTATTTTTTTTCTTGATTGTTGTCCCCCCTTTTCTTTTCCTCTCGGCAGTGGTGTGATCGAGGCAAGTGCATCTCCCGTCGCCATCACAGCCTAGCCTCCGTTGATGGCGGCTGGGGTAAGTGGGAGCCTTACGGGCAGTGTTCCAGGACTTGTGGAGGAGGGGTCAGGCAAGCCATCCGTCAGTGCACCCAGCCTGTCCCCCAGAATGGCGGCAAGTACTGTATAGGCAGGAGAGCACGCTTTGGATCCTGTAATTCAAGGGTAAGGAGTATGAGCAATCCACATTACAGTGCCCAACCCAGTCTTAAGAACGTTGGCACATTGACCCAAGAAATACCAAGCATGCCTACACAAGGTCTTTTTTAAAAATGCATATTCATCCTAAGCAAGGCTAAAAGCTACTAAAAGTACAGGACTACAAGAGAAAAAAAGATGAGTAGGTACCCAGGAAAACTGAAGGTAGGAATTAACATTCCTCTTGAAACAGGACAACCCAGTCTTGGGAACGTTGGCACATTGACCAAAAAAATACCAAGCATGCCTACACAAGTTCTTTTAAAAAAAATGCATATTCACCCTGAACAAGGCTAAAAGCCACTTAAGGTACAGGACTACAAGAGAAATAAGAAGAGTAGGTACTCAGGAAAACTGAAGGTAGGAATTAGCATTCCTCTTGAAACAGGACAGATCATAGGTTGGAGGGAAACAAGCACCAGGCAAGGAATTCCAAAGAGATGCAGCACGTGAGGGAAAAGCTATTGGAATATCCTTCTGTAGATGTGGGTATATGGATGAGAACAGGCAGAAAGCTGAGTTTCTCTAATGGTTTATGCTCGGAGGGTTTCAGTGCCAAAGTTCCCAAGACTGCTTTTGATTCATCCATGTTTAGATACCCCCTATACAGCTATGACGGCTTCATCGTACTTTCCGGGGATTAAGGAATTCAAATCCCAAATCTAGTGTTAGACCAATTCTATACCCCACAAAATATTTGTCATGGCGAAACCACTTTCAACTTTCATGGTCAACATCTTGCAAATATTATCCTGCACTTTTCAGCTGTCCTTCACTGTAAATACATTCTGTAGCCTTTGATGTTTTTCACAAGAAGTTTTTTAACTAAAATTGCGTGTGACCAAAAAGGTACAATTCTTATCGTTTCAGTTTGCGGTTACACCACGTGGTAATAACTACTGCGCAGTAGATACCAGTATTTAGTTCTGAAAAGAACTTGTCCTGCTTATTATCCACTTTCGTTAAATAGTTTTAGTTCCAATAAGAACAGTCCTGCTTTAAGTTCTAAAAGAACTTGTCTCAAGGACAAGTTCTTTTAGAACTAAATATCTACTGAGCAGTAGTTACTACCACATGGTGTTACCGCAAACCGAAACGATACTGGCACTCCACCAAGCAAAGCCTAATTTACTGTCCTTCATGTCAGAACTTAGATTTATTAGCACAACTTGTCTAGTCTGCCAACATTTTTTTTTTTGGTCAAACATTTCTGGAAAGGCGACGTACGCTAAACATTACCAGCCCAACCTACCCTGATAGCCCCAACTTAACGCCTGGAAATCCCTCATTACTAACCACTATTCCCTGGCCGAGCGGCACGCCTATCTCACCACCCCTATGTCCACAAACAACTTCACTAACTGATTAAAACATTGTGAGCAACCCTTTCCTATTTTGGGGGGTTTTGAAAATTGATCAGGAAATATGTATGCGAAACATATGGTGATGGGGTTGGCTGTGTGAGAGATTGGAACAGTTGTGTGTGTGTGTGTTCCACCCCGGAATATTTTGACACAATCCAAGGTCGTCAAAATGATTATCGTTCTTGACATTAAATGATGACTGACATGTTATGTCACCTGTCACCTGTCACCTAAAAATGAGCTTAAATTTGGACTTTTAACCACTTTAGGATGGGATTATTTTTGCCGAAAATTTTGATTTTCGGAAAAGGCAGCCAATTTCTGTTATACAGCCAAATGCCACAATACTGGTTTGCAAGAGTCATTTCAACAGTGTTTGTACGATGTTTCTTGCCAAAACCTCATATTTTTCAACACTCCTGGGTGTGCTCACGGAGCGCAAATTGTAGAACAATAGTCTGCCTCCTCAGACTTCTCGGACTTTGTGTGTGTGTACAAAACAAATGAGGGATTAGCATGTATAGACGTCAACCGGAGGCGAGTCGAGGCAAGTGCCTGTGTATAAAAACGGCCAGATTGTGTTATCATCTCATTTGACGCGTACTGGTTAAAGGGAATATACATCATTTGCTTTGGCTGTAATTTTCAGAAATGGATGGAATTGGGGGGTTGGAAATATATAGCAAATATAGTTACACTGACTTTTTTGAGGTTTTGGGTTCGAAAATGCTATAAAAACCAAGAAAAACAATCTTTTTCCTGTAGTCTGGTTCCCTGACTCCATTTATGAAGAAACAGAGCACTTAACATATATTGGGGAATTGTAAGGTCAGGGAACCAGTCTAGCTGGCTTGTACCCTTTCATAGGTGTGTAATCGATTGCAAACAAGTGCGATGGTCAACTGGGGCCAGTATTTGAAAAAAGCCAGTTTTTTCCAACGCTGATCGGCCGATCAGCGTTGGAAATTGATACAAAAATACCAATTTTTCTTGAAAATGACAGTAAACCAGGTGCCATGATTTTACAGGATGCTTTACACTGTCATTCACTAACAGTCCAGCAAGGTATTTCAAAATGATTTGGTAGTTTTATTTTTTGATGTTTGCAAATGTTGTATTTTCCCTTTAAAGAATTGAGATATGTATATATTTGTTATTCTGCAGAATAAGAGCTTTCTAATGGTTCATAGTGTTCTTGAAAACAAAATGCCAAAATACGAATTATTTTTTATTATTATTAATATTTTTAATGTGGAATAACTTCTCTTTCACTTTGTATCTTCATATTGTAAAAGATCACACCATTCTTTCACCTTTTCACTGGTAGCCGTGTCCAGATGGCAGTATACCATTCAGGGAAGAGCAGTGCGCCGCTTACAACGGCAACAACTTCAACATCCAGGGTGTGCCCCGGGACGTCCGATGGGTTGCCAAGTATACCGGTGGTGAGTGCTAACTCGTTGAAACATATTTTATTATAGTACACATCTGCATGCATCTACTACAAATGACGACAAGATACCCATAAGTGGCCTCCTTCAGATATCCACTCATCTTGTCCTCCCCCAAAGTATGCCCCTGTTTCCCCAAAAGTTGGTTTACCCAAAAATTGAAGTTTCATTGCGTTACCCGCTGCTACATCACATTCGAACCAGCCAGCTGATCTCGTTAGCTCTGTGGTCGAGTGGTAAGACATCTGCACAAGAAAGCAGGAAGTCGTAGGTTCGAGGCCCACCCGAGTAATTTTTTTCTCGCTTTCACTCGGGGTAACACACTGAGTATACAGTGTGTATACGTCAGTGAAGGGCAAAATCAAATATTGAATCAATAATTATTTATCCCCCTCCCAACCAAAACAACGCTCTAAAACTTTTGTTGATAAGGATAAATTAATTATTTATTTCTGGGGGGGGGGGTGTTGGAATGCAGGAATACAAATATTTGAATTTAATTCAACTAGACATTATTTTCTCAGTGATGTCCTCTGTTATATTCAGAGAAGGAAGGAGAATTAATTTACAGAGAAAAGCTGTTGTACCTTTTTTGGGGTACAAGGCACAAATTCACAAACAAGAACAAAAAAGAAAGAAGAAAATATCAATTCAAAAACAGCAATTAATAAAAAAAATGGAGATAAATAGTAGTGTTAGTGTGCTAGGCATGTGTGCTAGGCAAAACCACAATACAGAAAAAAATGACAAAATTATAGAAAAAAAATTGACATTAGATAAAATCTGTCTGTGGAATTGAGGGTTGATCTCCCATTCACCCAGCCCACAATGGGGTGCAGCGCTGGAGCCAACCCGCCTGACAGAACCAGACTAATGACTTGAAAGTCTGGCACCAAATTCCACATACATTGGCAGCCATAACGGTGACAGAATGTTTTGTCATCATCCATTGACTGACCCACTTTTGGAAAAGGGGGGGGGGGGGGTGGGGTAAAAGATGCTAAAATACTTGTCTTAGAATGATTTGATGTGCAGGGTTTTAGGGATTGAGTTGTCATCATCAGCTGTCGCTGGTCATGCCGAATTGCTAGACTTTCTGACCCACATTCATCAAATGTCATCTCACTTATCTCCCATATTATATGTGGATTGTGGTAAAAATTATATTGTTAATTTCTGGTAACGAATCATGGAATTTAAAGTTTTTGTGGGGGGGGGGGTTGTTCGTCGCTGTGAATCCTTTTAAGAGAATGAGGTGAAGATATGTCCACATATTCTGGGTGAAATTTTGTCATAAAAAAACAGGATAAAATTGTGGGTTGTACAAATGACCATGATATCAAATACACATGTGAGCATACCAGTAATTTAGCAGAGCTAGGAATTTTTTGTTTTATCCAGGGTAAGGGGCCATTCAAAATTTTTCGATGTTTTTAAATTGAATTTTTTTTTTCCAAATTGTTTTGACCCACCCACCCCAATTTTCAATCATAAAATATTGATTTTTTATTCAATAAAAAAACACGGCGGAATGCAGCTGAAGACCCTTGAAGAACCCTGGACGCATGTAGAAGTCATGTTGGGTTCTTGCTAGTTTGAAAAAGGTTGCCAGAATCTCTGGGTTTGACCCAGTTTCAACATGGAGATTTTAGCTAGTGTGTAAGGGTCTTTGTATTCACCAAGTTTCACTCTCTCCCTCTGCAGTCCAGATAAAGGATCAGTGCAGTCTCTTCTGCCGCGTGGAGGGGAGCATCGCCTTCTACAAACTGGCCAAGAAAGTGGTGGATGGCACGCCTTGCGGACCGGACACCAGTGACATATGTGTGCAAGGTCAATGCTGGGTGGGTGTCAAGTACCGTCTCCTCATTGGATAATCAAAACGTCTTACCAAAGACTAGGGAGCAGTGTTGTTGTCCGAGACATCACAAGCTCTCACAATTCATCACAAGTCCTCACAAGTCCTCATAAGTCATGAAAAGTCATGACAAGTCCTCAAAATTCCTCACAAGCCATCACATATCCCCACAATTCCTCACAAGTCCTCACGAGTCCACACAAGTCATCACAAGTCCTCAAAATTCCTCACAAGCCATCACATATCCCCCACAATTCCTCACAAGTCCTCACAATTCCATACAAGTCCTCACAAGTCACCACAAGTCCTCACATGTCCTCACAAGTCCTTACAAGTCCTCACAGGTGGTCACCAATCTATCACATGTCATCACAAGTCCTCAAAATTCCTTACAAGCCATCACAAGTCCCCACAATTCCTCAAAAGTCCTCATGAGTCCACACATGTCCTCACAAAGCCATCACAAGTCCTCACAAGTATATTACATGTTGAAACATGAAACAAAAGCACTCTGTAACTGGAGACGCTTCAGTAACTGCAAAACTCCCTGGCCAGACTCAAAACCACAGTCTGCAGAATAAATAACACATTTTGAATTTGATGATCCAAATCAGAATGACAGGACCCCTCCACATAAACAATAAAATAAAAAGAATCAGGATCCAGTAACATGGAGCTGTTAAGCACAGATACCTGGTAAGCGCAAAATATATTAGCTTAGCAGAAACAGGTCACCAGCCAAAATGTCCTGTTATGTCAATGACTGTTCCCAGCTAATGTTTGCGAAGTGACAAAAAAAAATTGCTAATCAAAAATGTTCTGCTTACCATTTCCATGAAAATTGCACCGAGTTCTTCAGACTGCTAGTGGATTATTTTAGGAATCAAGTTTTTTTCAAGATTGTTTGTTGCCCTTCATTGATTCAGCAAGCTGGCTGTGACCATATCTTGGGTTCCAAGACGACGAGAGATGACTGTGGGGTCTGTGGAGGAGACCACCAGGCATGCACGACCATCACCGACACCTACAATGAGGCACACTATGGTGAGACAAATCACTCAATATCTCGTGGGTCTTACAGTTTGTTTCTCCCCATGCTCTTTTCGAGTCCCCCCCCCAAAAAAAAAAATTGGTTTTTTTAGCTGTACAAACTTTATTCACTTTTGAATGAGGCATCACACAAAAAGATTATTTATTATTATTATTATTATTAATCATTTCTGGTAATGAAACCAAGGATTCCTCAAAAGTGCCCTAGGCACTGTAGCTCGCAAGCCTGAAGAAACCTGTGGAGAGAAGACAATGAGAAGAAGTTACAGTTTTAGAGGTGGGAGGAAAAGCCTAGAAGAATATTCTTGGGAAACCCACGGAATCAGGTAGGGACTGAAAACCCAATCCACATATTGGCCCAGGCGGGATTCAAACCCGGGTCACAGCGGTGGAAGGCGAGGAAAGTACCGCTACGCCAACCTGACTCCCCAAGCCAACCTGACTCCCTAAAATTTTGGAACGATTGGTTCACTAATTTCAAGTTATTTGCGGCCAGACAATAATTCAGGCATATCTTGTGTGCCATGTTGGCCAGACAATAATTCAGGCATATCTTTTGTGCCATGTTGGCACAAAAGCAAAATAACTTGTATTTCAGGGGTTTGAAAAGTCCAAAATAGGAGAAAACGAAAATTGATTGTGCTGTAGAGCAGGGGTAGAGCAATTCATAATAAATAAGAGTTTAAAACAATAAATAAGTATCCACTGTTGTAATTAATAGTCTACCAATGTTCTTTTGCTGTCTTGGAGAGTGAACAGTTCTATAAAAAAAGAATGGAAAAAAAAGGTTGAAAAACACAGAACTCTTCGTTTTTTTATTTCTCTTCATTCAGACTTGAAAACAATGTGGACGATAAATTTGTGCATCTCTAGATCGAGAATTTCTTATCCTGTTTTTAACAGTTTCAACTACAAATGTTGGAAACTTCTTTCAATTTTACTGCAGCTGCCGTGAAAGCTAACACATCTCGTCAGGAACTTTCTCATTTTCTTCCCTTAAATCGTCCACACTCCATTTGCCAAACTTCCCACCAGAGTCTTTCCCCACATAACACAAGGAAACAGCCCCTGATTGCAGCTTCCACCACAAATTCTCCCACTGTCCCATGCTCTTTGTCAGGATAAGCACTGACTACCGACAACAGGTGGAGTGCCAACCTGTCAGTAGAAGGTTTATTTCTAGAGCCTGCTAGATCTAGATCATATGTGGTTGAAGGTGGTTTATAATTGTTACCATATCCAGGGCCCTGGCCTGAGTTGACCTAGGGGGTTAGATGAGGTTCATGGGATAGGAAGGCTGCAACTTTTTGAAAGGATTTTGAGGATAAGTGTGTTGGATATTTAGGGTTTTGGAGCATAATTTTCTTATTAGGATACTTTTTTTTAGATCTGTGGTTTTTTTAGAACTGTGGTTTTTTTATGGTAATTTCAAAAGTCAGACATTGGGGTGAATTTGTTTTAAGATAATCTTCTTCTTCTTATTTTTTTGCCTTTAACAGGAGTAGAGGCAGCCTTACATTCCAAACACAAACTCAAGCTTTTGAGCTAAGGGGGTTGGGCAGCTTTCGTTGAAAACTTTGACAAGTTAATGCTTTCTACTGCAATCTGGGATATAGCTTAGGGAATTGAGAGATTATAAATGAATCATTTTAGCTCACGTTTTGTTATTTTTCACTGTTTCTCGGGGTGATGGGTGGTGTTTAGTCCCCAGAAGAATGCCAATTCTAGATGGAGAAATCTCAATCTGTGCATTCTATTGTGCCCAATGTATTAGCCCTTAAAAAGGTTGCTTACAGTTGGAAGGATTTTATCAATGTTTGCACTCTGTTTTTAAATATAGTGAATTCCTTTCTAACATAGTTTAATCCAGTCACTGCAGTCAAATTTGGTTCAGTAATTTATGTTAAAGAAAATCACGTTTCTTTTTCATGTCTAGGTTACAACAAAGTGGTAGAGATTCCTGCAGGCTCCACCAAGTTGGACATCCAGCAGCGCAGCCCTCCGGGTGCACCAGAAGATGACAACTACCTTGGTTAGTGCTGGAAGAAAACAAAATTGGCAACCCATTCTAACATGTTAAGCATTCCATTTGAGATTGCCTTAATCTATGTGCATTTATTAAGATCTGGGCCCATTGTCGTTGAGCTGAAAATCACTGCTTGGCAGGTAAGCATGCTCATCAAATACCAGCGGAGAACCACTCACAAACAATATACGGGGTGAGTAAAAAAAAAAAACGAAACCCAAATGTCGGGATCATTGTTTTAGGGAAGGTCTTCATGTAGCACTTTCAAAATCTAGGATATGAAAGCCCAATTCATAAGCTTTCTTTTAGTACAAGAATCAGTCAAATCACTCATGTACTTCTCAAGTTACAGATTTTTTAAACACAACCACCGTTTTAAAGTTCTGTCTACAAAAAAAGGTGTGTGTTCTTTCAGCAAAACGAAAACAATTCACACACATCACTGTGTGATTTGTTTTCGTTTTGCTGAAAGAACACTGAACTTTTTTTGTGATCCGTGGACAGAACCTTAAAACGGTGTTTGTGTTTAAAACTCTGTAACTTGAAAAGTACAGAAGTAAATTGAATGATTCTTTTACTAAAAGAAAGCTTATGCATTGGGCTTTTATATCCTAGATTTTTAAAGTGCTACATGCAGAACTTCACTAAAAGAATGGCCCGACATTTGGGTTTCATTTTTTTTTACTCGCCCTGTACAAGGTGTATCAAAATAAAGGTAATCCAGAAGTCATGGGTTAACATGTAAAAGTTGTGAACTTGGACACTGCCAAAATGGCTCCATCACGTGACATATGACGTCATATTAAAAGAGCATATTTTGAAGGCCCATATCTACAGAACTACAGGTCTGATTGGGTTGAAACTTGGTATCTACCATTTGCATCTCTTCAGCCACGGAGGACACAGCACCATTGATTCCAAAACAAAGGCTGATTCTCTGCGTACGTCCGACCACATGACTTTACAATTTCATTAAGGTGGTGCATGGTACTTTAGTTTGGTCTGTAGTTGCTATCTACTCATTAAATGTTGCATTATTAGTGATGTATCACATTCACTTTTCCAACTGCAGCTCATTAAAGTGTCTGACAAGTACGTCCAAATTTACCGAATAACCCTTGTGCAAGCAGCTACATTTTTACTTCATAAATTCCTCTTTTTCTTACGAGCTTTCTTTCCCTCTTCCCTTTCTGTGTTGTCCTTCTAGGGCCTTGTATTTGAGAAATTTCAATATAAATAACTTATGATTTGATGTTTTGATCGCAGCCATAAAGAACACCAACGGAGAGTTTCTACTCAACGGTCACTTCGTGGTCAGCATGTTCCAGCGAGAGATCAAGATCGGCAACGTTGTGATGAAATACAGCGGCTCCAATAACTCCACAGAGAAGATCACGTGCTATGAGAAGATTACCTCCAGCATCACCATCTATGTGAGTCAAACCATTTGGGTTACTATCAGAAGTTTTGATCAAATCTTGCTCCCCTAAGGCGATAAAGCCATGGTCCAGTGGTTATGGTGTCGGACTCATTGACGATGGTGCCTGGGTTTCAAACCTTGGCAGGAATTAGGTGCTTGTGCCCTTGGGCAAGACACTTAACCACAATTGCCTCTCTCCACCCAGAGGTATAACTGGGTTCCTGTGAGGGTAGAGGACCGATTGAGAGCTGTTATCGGCTGCCGCGTGGTCTCAGGGTCTGATGAACAAGGAAATAATTGTAAAGCACTTTGAAATTGTTGATGAGATGGAAAGTGATAATATAGAAATTACAATTTATTTAGATTTATGAAAGATGGCAAAGAATTGCTTGGTCGCATTTCATTTGAATAACCACACTGACCTACTGACATATTTGCTGCTGTTATAATGTTGTCCTGCCAGTAATAATGTTGTCACTTTAGGTTAATAATGTAAATCCTGCGATCTCCGCCAAGTCACATGACCCAGTCGACCATTGCTGTGGAAGCCATGGTGGATGTCAGACGAAAGCTTCAATGCTTCATATTTATTGTTGTGAGTAATTGCTTAATTTCATCGTGATATGTAATCATGTTGTTGTATGTTTCTGTTTTCCAGGTCCTTTCCGTCGGTAACGTCGTACCACCAGACATCTTGTACTCCTACAACATTCCTATTCCTGGCAAGGATATCTATGTCTGGGATATGTACGGACCATGGGGATCCTGCAATAAGATGTGTAAAGGTGAGGAACGTCAGGAGTTGAATCAAAGTCACATGGGAATCACAAACAAATCACAAGCTTATCACAGGACTATCGCAAATTATCACAAGGCCATCACAAGTCAATCACAAGCCCATCACAGGTCACTCACAAGTTGTCACACAAGTCCATCACAATTTGTCACAAGTCAATCATAAGCCAATCACAGATCCATCACAAGTCATCACAAGTCCAATCACAAGGCCATCACAAGTCAATCACTAGCCAATCATAAGCCCATCACAGATCAATCACAAGTCATCACAAGCCCGTCTCAAGTCAGTCGCAAGTCAATCACAAGTTAAACCAGTCATCCAATCTCAAGTCCGGTGAAAAATAAAAATTCATATGAACTGTTTCTAAAAAAAAAATTAAAAAAAATTGAAAGCACAGTGTGTTGGGTATTAAATGTATCAACTAAAATCCTAATTTAAATCTCCTAAATAAATAGATATTTAAATAACAAAATACCAGGGGTTAAGATCGAGCAAGGAATGGCGGGAATCAATGTGGCATCACTAGATCCTACCCATGGGAACAAGGTTGATGAAATCGGTCCCTGGACTTAATTTTCAATACACAATTGAAAGAACTGTAATTGATGCTGTGGTCTCACTGTCTGTAATCCGTGAACAAATATCTCCTTCCTTGTTTTGCCTACATGTTTACTCACTCTACTTCAAACTTTCGTAAAAATATCCGGATATTTTGGTCTGGCTGCAACGGTCTGCGGTCAAAAATACGCCTGGAACAACACGTAAATGTGGTTTCTTATTATTCGTTATCGCTCTGTAACACACAAACCGCAAACCTTTTTCAGAAATAGCCCATTGATCGATAGAATTAAAAGCCACCGAATCGTGACAATCAACCGCAACTGCGGTTAATTCTGTTTGGCATTGCGAGATTCTAGCGAGATCAACTCATTAGCTACACTTCCTGTTGATTGGAAAAGTCACACCAAACACAATCACATCCGAGTTTGGGTAATGTTTGTGATATTTGAAACCAAGTCTCTCTGGGACAGATGGAGTGCAACTTTTTATCTATTTTATTTTGCTTCTTGTGGAGGATGCTTCTTTTTGCAACGATTTTGTTTTTGTTTGTGGTGCTAATATTGTCCAACTTGAACGTTCTCAAAAAGGGGGGGTCTTGGTTTTTAAAATTTTGCCATAAAAGGTGAAAGCGAACATTGAAAAATATTACAATTTGCAAAAAACAAATGAAGTTGTTTGCAGTGTGTTTTCTTATACCTCCAAATACTTTTAAGTTTGCGATAGAATTGACCTATGGCCGTTTGCGAGTTAGCCACGCCCCTTAGGCAACCCTATGGAATTTTGTTCGTTCAGTTTTGGTTGTCTCAGATTTTGCGCGATCCGCGTCCATTCGTATATCATGTAATTGGACAATATTCCACAAGCTGCGTTGACGCGATTCTACCGCGGTAGGTTAAATAAGCAGGCTTGTTAGATTTTTTACCCATTAGCACCTGAACTACATTGTATCACAATGTGTTTATTCACTGAAAAATCAATACAACCATAGAGATCTGATACACTGTGCCCTCTGGAGACATGCACACAATAGGGAACAAAAGATTGTATATGTCTCCACAGGGCAATTTCTATAGATGAATACATCTCCGCAAGGTTTTCACGAAATAGATATATGGATTTTACTCAAAAACTAGGAATTTCCAAGGTGTGTTGATCTGTCGCAAATGGTAGAGTTCTAGAAAAGGGATATTAAGTCCGAATTTCAGCTAAGGAAATTAATTCTGGTTAAAATAACAGCATTTTGAAACTGTACTTTCAAACTGGAAAACTTAAGTACACCAGAACAAAGAAATGTCTCCACAAGGATACAAATTTCAGTATGTAAGTACTGGGGCTTCGGGTGTTACAGTGAGTAAAGATAGGGCGGTTTCAGGCGCTAACAGTGACTAAACGGTTCATGAATTTAAAAAGTCAATCATCCATCCAACCCCGTTTTAGTGCAAGCTGGTCACAGTAAATTTTGATTGCCCTATTTTTAAATACCCCAACTGTGGAAGGAAGACGTGAAATGTTTGTTGGAAAACCAAACTGGCTGAAAACACAGACCGGCGCCAACTTTAATTTGTGTGGTGTTGGTGTCACGCACACTTGTGTTCCCCATCAGAGACACTAACCACAGATTGGGGTGTTTGACACTGTGCAGCAAACAACAGCTTACGTGGTTCACCTGTCGTCATTTTGTCAGAGGTTGAGAGGCTCCTGGGAAAGAGGACGCATGAGGTCCAATGTTATATTCACACTAGACAGTAACTATGGCGTCGGACATCTTTGCAAAATCCTCGTCACTGTCAGCGAACAACTGACAGAGGAGGTTGTATCGCCGAATGCCAGCGCTCTGAATTTCAAGTGGAAATCCATCCCAAAACTTTTACTAGACTGAAAGAGTATTTACTGGGCAGATGTTAAAACAGGGGTGTGAAATCTCAGCTTTAAAGCTGGGGTGCGTTTTGGCGGTCATAACCAAGAATTGGTTCGGTGGTTTCTCTTTGGTTAATTGTTTTGGGGATTTGAGTACTACATGATCATGCGTAATTCTAATCCAATTAAAATTGCCGAAGAAATTCACCGACAAGAAACCACCGAACCAATTCTTGGTTATGACCGCCAAAACGCACCCCTGATCACAGCTTTTTTTGTTTTGGATTTCAGCTTGTTTTCAGCTTTTTCCCTCACTTGCTGTGTACAAAAGTATAGGAGATTTCCAAAGTTCAGCCTTTTTACACCATTTTCAGCTGTTTTCAGCTATTTTTATCAGTGGTCACTCGCACCCCTGTTAAAAAGCAACGAAAAAACATTAACATCTGTCAATTTTAAATTTTAAAGATTTTTTTTTAATATACACAAAACCTTCGCTTTTGAAGTGGACATTAAAATTGCAGTCGGGGTCAATCTTTTTGGATCATTTGACCCAGGAATGTTCGATGTTGAATAATGATTACTTGCGAAAATATGATGGTCTAGTTCTATCATAGAAGGCATTTTACAATGCCTGAATAAATCCTTGTCATCTGATTGGTCAGTTGTTGATCACATGTCGTTGAATTATTCATCCTAACCCACGGGCTAGTCGCACTGCAAAAATAGAAGTTCAATTGCAGGGTCACACTATCGGTGGCTCTGACCAATCAAATGACGAGAATTTATTCAGGCGTTGCAAAAAAAATGTAACGAATGTTTCACATTGGAAAGAATCATTTCATTCGGTGACAAATGGCATGTTCCATTTCACTTGGCTTCACATCCTGGAATGGAACATTCCATCTGCCACCTCATGAAATTATTCTTACCATTGCACTCTGAAACATTCATTAATTGTATACTAGACCATCAGTTATTGGACTCAGGTCTGTAATGCTGTGATTAATCCTTTTATTTCCTAATCATCAACCCTGCTCTTCTTATCAGCATAAGATCTCATTGTTTGTCCACTTCTTTTTTGGTTGTGTTTCCCTTGTCTTGTCAACATGTTTGACTATTTCTCTCACACCTGTCACCTTTATGTATTTTTCGCCTTCGTGTATTTTTTTACATCTACAAATTAACCCAAAATGATGGACACCTGGTTCTGTTTCTACAGTTTTCAGTTTAGAGTGTGAAGTCGCTTTTTAATCATTTTAATGAACGGAAAACAACAGTTCTGCTTGCCCATCAATCTCTATCAATCACTGCTTATTACTTTTTTTGCCTTTTTGATGTGCTGCAGACTTTGTTTTTTTATCTCATACTTAAAGCCCTCAATGTTCAGACTAGTATTAAATCTCACCCCGTTTTTTTTTTGCGTACTGGCAAGCTGGAGGGATTACCTTGTATTAAGCGTTTTCCTGTGAGTAAATTCCTCTCTCTTGTTATTTTCCGTCGTCTTGTCATATTAGTTTTGAAATTGTTTGGTCGAATCAATCAAGGTAAAACACCAAAACTGGGCAACAAAGTTGCTGTCAGACTAAACTTGTAGTACAGGGGGAGTCAGTCCAAAGAAAGGAAACCCAAATGGCGGCCCCTATTTTTTTAAGAAGTTCTGCGAGGCGCACTTCTCAGATCTAGGATGTGAAAGCCCAATTAATAAGCTTTCTTTTAGTAAAAGAATCATTCTAATCACTTGTGTACTTTTCCAGGAATCTTGAGCACAAACAACGTTTTAAAATTTTGTCCACCGCATCAAATTTAAGGTACTTGATATTTCAGTTATATGGAAGCAAGTCGTATCATGAAAAAGATTTCAGAATAATCCCATAAGTCTCCTGGATTGCCAAGTAGGCCGGGCAGGACAATAAACTCTTTGACATTATAAAGCACGTTGTTTTAACATTGGAAGCAGAAGGTGTTTAAATAAAGGTTATGATGAGAGCCAGTCATCATGGTTATGAGAGTGTTCTGATGCCATTTTTTGATATGTGAATTATTTTCCTTGTGCTGAAATATCACTTTACCTTTATTGTGATCGGTGGACAAAATTTTAAAACTGTATTTGTGTTTAAAAGTCCATAACTAGAAAAGCATGTAAGCGATATGAATTTTTTTTTTACTAAAAGAAAGCTTATTTATTGGGCTTTCACATCCTAGATCTAAAAAGTGCTGCATGCATTAAAAAATAGGGGGCAGCATTTGGGTTCCCTTTTTTTTTTACTCCCCCTGTGTAGCAAAGTGATTAAAATTATAAGCTTTTCAATTTTCAAAATGTGCTTGATCCCTGTTTGAAATATTGCTGTGTACAATTTGTCTGTTGCTGTATCTATTTGTGGCTTTTGTCAACCAGAAAGAAAAGTCTGTCCCGAGCCTATTATGGCCCATCAGGCCAGCGTTTATCTCTGGTTTCTTTGGCATGAAACGACTGAGAATATTTCTATTTCCCTTGGACAGGATGCCAGTCCATCGCAGGTTACTCCCCAGCTAATGCTGGTACCCATTTATACTCCTGGGTGGAGAGAGGCAAGTGGGGATTAAGTGCCTTGCCCAAGGACACAACGTATGGCCGGCAGCTGGATTCGAACCCCTGACCCTCTGATCATGAGTCACGAACCCTTACCGCTAGGCCACACTTCCACACTTGTCAACTAGAAGCATTTATTTATTTTTTCTCTTGATTTGTTTAACTTCTAGGTGAGAAAGAACAGGGCCTACGTTGTTTGAGACAGAGCGATCGCCTACAAGTCAAGGACAGTCATTGCCGTGGAGGGCGCCCTGATCCGTTCACGTCAAAATGCAATACAGGATGCGAATTGCGGTATGTTGTTGACATTTTTAATTTCTTTTTTGTATTTTGAATGCAAGGCTTCATTGTCTTTGAAGAACATCACTCAGTCACTCAGGTTTGGGGCGGTACATGGGTTATAATGCGTTAACTGTGCATCCTAAAGGTGCTCAAACACGTCTAAGAACAAATGTCCACCTTGCTAAGAATGTTTGTGTCCCATTTATGAGTTTTTAACAAACCTTGCGTGTGTTCTTGCAAATAATTTGATTTTAAAGGGTATATACAACATTTGCAAACATCAAGAAACAAAACTAGCAAATTATTATGAAATACCTTACGGGACTGTTAGTGAATGACAGTCTAAAGCATCCTGTAAAATCATGGCACCTGATGTGCTGTCATTTTCAAGAAAAGTGGTATTTTTGTATAAATTTCCAACGGTGGTCGGCCGACCACCGTTAAAAAAACCTAACTATTTTCAACCGCTGCTCCAAATTTACCATTTTTTTTTTCAGTCCAAATTTTGTTTGCTATTGGTTACATGTTCATAAACGGGTGCAGGCCTGCTAGACAGGTTCCCTTACCTTACAATTTTCCGGCATCTATAAATTGATCCATTTCATCTTTAGTGGAGTCAGGGAACCAGACTACTTCAACATTTTTGTTTTTCTTGGTTTTTCCAGTATTTTCGAACACAAAACCTCAATCATGTCAGTGTAACAATATTTGATCTATTATACTAACCCCTCAAATAGTTCATTTCTGAAAATTAAAGCAAAAGCCAATGATGTACATTCCCTTTAATAACCATTGCTCAATTTAACTGGCAAGATTCGTTCCCCTTATTTTTAGCACTGATCTAGTTTAAAACCTGGGGCCAATTTCATAGAGCTGCTTAAGCACAAAATTTGCTTAAGCACAAAAACGTCTTGCTTAATAAAATCAGGTTACCGGCCAAAACTCCATGCGATTGTTATGCTAAGTAAACAACAGCTAAATACCAGTCACAAGCAATGTACATCACATGGAGTTTTGGCCGGTAACCTAATTTTACTAAGCAATGTTTTTTCGTGCTTAAGCAAATTTTCTGCTTAAGCAGCTCTATGAAATTGGGCCCTGGTCTGGTAAAATGTTGTAGATTTCTTATTTTTGAATTGACTGGTATGTTACTACTACAGCTGGGTGATTACTGCCGAGAGTGACTGCTCAGCGACCTGCGGGCGCGGTCGACGTACACGGCGCGTCCAGTGCAAGAAGTCAGGCGGACGGCGACGGATCAGCATGGTGGTAGCTGACGCCAACTGCAACGATCAAGCCAGACCGGCCGAGGTGGTGGAGTGTGGCAGTGAATGCGAAGCGGCTCACTGGGAGTATTCGGCTTGGTCTCAGGTACATTGAACCGGGACTAAGTTTGAGTTTATTGCTATGGCTAAGGCTTGACGTTGATCCATTAAGCCTGGTTCATTCTTCACGCGAAAGCGAAAGCGAATTCCATTACAGAAAATACCTCACCTCTGTTTACCTACATTTGCATATCAGCGCGCATGCGCACAAACATTCGCTGAAAAGAATAGCGCCCAAGCCACACCCTCATTGTCCACTGCATGCCCCACGCCCACAAAGGACCCTGTAACGTAATAGCTCGTCCTAGTTTTTCAGCGACGCGTAGTGTAAAGACGTACATTTTTTAGCTGTTCTCGCTGTGATTACAAAATGGCGGACTCCGCCAAAACCAAGAAGAAAACTGTCTCAAGCCGTTCTACCGGAAAGTCACCCTCTACTAGTCAATCCAAGCGTGATAATTCCTCTGCTACGACCGGGTCCAATCTCCCGGGTTCGACAGTTGGAATTTCTCCGGGGACGAATACTTCTCCAACGAGAGTTACGGCCACTCCCCGACAAATCCCGCATTCTTACGGCAGCCTACAGGAGCACATGGCTTCGGAACAACAGGTCGACTCGCATGTGCAGGCGGGACGGCGGGACTTGGCGTTCGAAACCCAGCGGTCCCTCGGTAATTCGACCAGCCCCGCCAGGTCACAGAGGCTTGGGGCACCACCACCACCATCATCTTCATTCAGCCGTACTACGGGTTCGTATTCACAACCTAGTTTTACAAGCGAATCTCGGCGAGATTTTCCTCATCATTCGGAGCCTCACACGTGGTCCTTTTTCCCGAACGATCCTCGTCAATTCGACCACAATACTCGCACTCCGTATCCACTCAGTGCACCATCCTACGACCCGCGGGGTTATCCCCAGACTTTTCCGATGGGATTTTCACACCATTACCCACCTTATCAGGGTAATTCTTCACATTCTCCGCGAGATCATGGCGTACCTTTCACAGGACAAAGACTCCGTTCTCCGCAACGCTTCGGTGAACACACCAGCCGGGCGGGGAGAGAACGCCGCGATTCACGGCGCCGTTCCCGGTCTCGTGCGCGGTCCCGCTCGGACTCCGACGATCGACATTGGCGCCGACATCGTTCTTCTCGTCATGATCGTGATTACTCACGGTCGGATTCTGGTCATCGAAGCCGACACTCACGTTCTAGATCTCCTTCAAGGTCTTCTTTTTCCTCGGGCCGGACAGTGGATGAAGATAGTCTCTCCAATGCCCAGCGGGCTAATCTTACGATGACGGAAGTGGGTAAGATCCTTCAGTTCCCACCCCCTTCCCCAGACGAATCTACTCGTCCTTCATTTCGCAGAGATTCTGGTACACGTAAATTTAAGCCTTCGCAGCCCTCTTTTCCTATTGATAGATTGTGTGCTGACACTATGAATGAGTCCCTTAGTCAGGTGCATAGCAAACAAACTCTCTCTCGTGGCCAGAGCAGGTTTGCAGGCATGTTCAACACCAATAAAGCGGACACTGATAGATTTTTCTCTACCCCTTCCTTGTCTTCTGAGGCCAAAGACTTGCTGAGACGTGAGAATCCGCTATCTCAAAAGTTTTTTGATGCTAAGACGAATACACTTAACAAAAGATTCGCCTACATGGATAGCCATATGCGTCAAGGGGCCAAAGTGGCCTCTTTCTCCATCCTGTTATCGGATACCCTTGCTCGATGTTATGGAGATCCTTCCTTGTGTGAGCCATACAAGATAACCGAAATGTTCCATTTTTTGGATGATTGCCTAGGTTTTTGCCTCAAGGAATTTAGTTTAGGTTTCGCTTCGACTTCGTTGCTGCGACGTTCCCTTGTTGTAGACAAGTTGTCTCTCCCTTCACTTGGTGCAAAGGATCGCATGCTAGGCCTTCCCCTGGCTGGGCGTGATCTTTTTGACAACAAGTTTGATGAGACTATGTTACATGAAGCCAAACGCCTTAAAGCTGAAGACAAGTTCGATTTTCGTCGGCGTTCAACCAAACGCCCCTCTACATTTGCCCCCAGTCAGCCCAGCAAGAAGAATCAACGCCCGTTTTCTACCGACAAGGGCTCCAACCAGTCCAAGTTTCAGGGGCATCAGGCTTCTTCGTCTTCTGCCAGCTACACCAGGAGACAGCCCCCCAGATATTCGCGTCCCTTCAAGTCCCGGGGGTCGCGAGGTAACAAGGGCCTATGACAACAACACAGTTTTCATCCCTCCAGCTTCGGGTCCAGTAGGTGGTCGTCTTGGGGAGTTCAGTCAGAGATGGTCTCACGTAACCTCAGATACTTGGGTTCTTCAAACGATCTCGACAGGGTACCGTCTGGAATTCACCAGCAACCCTCCTCTACAACCCCCAAGACGACCAACTCCTGTTCCCTCAGATTCTGCACGCCGGGTGGCGTTGGAGAAGGAAATAATCTCTCTGATCGACAAGAACGCCATCATTCTGCTTCCAACGGGGTCCACCCTTGGCGTCACCTCAACCTTTTTCCTGGCACCGAAGAAGTCGGGCGATTGGCGACCCATCATCAACCTACGACCTCTCAACAGTTACATCAAACCCAAACACTTCCGCATGGAGACACTTTCCACGGTCCTCCAGTCCCTGAAAAGGAATTGGTGGGCTACTTCCATCGATCTGAAGGATGCCTACCTTCATGTACCTATCCACGCAGATCATCAGAAGTTTCTCCAGTTTCTATACCAAGGTTCCGGGTACCAATTTCGTTGCCTACCGTTCGGCCTCTCCACAGCCCCTCGGGTCTTTACGAGAATAGCCAAAGCAGTTGCAGCTTTCTTGCGTCAAAAGCAGATCCACATATTTCTGTATCTGGACGATTGGCTCATAGTAGGTCCGACCTTCCAGGACACGGTAGATGCCCTCCGACAGACCGTTCAACTTACCCTCAATCTCGGCTTCATCATCAATGTCGAGAAGTCGTCTCTGATTCCAACTCAACAACCGACCTATCTTGGAGCAGTTCTAGACATGACAACAGGCAGAGCGATGCCATCGGGGGAAAGATGTCAGACACTCTGGGATTGCATCGGAATTTTCAGGTCATCTCCAATCCTCCCAGCCAAAGCTTGGCTCCGCCTTCTGGGTCTCATGGCAAGTCTGGTCGACTTGGTTCCCTGGTGCAGGATGCACATGCGTCCCTTACAGCTTCATCTCCTGTACCACTTTCGCCCTCGCAAGGATCCTATATCGAAGATGGTTCCAGTTACTCCGTTAATTATCGACAAGCTCCGGTGGTGGCTAGCTCCGAACAATCTCCTATGTGGAGTCGTGTTCCCTCGCCCCTCTCCAGCAGCTATCCTCACAACAGATGCTTCAACTCTGGGTTGGGGAGCTCACATGGACTATCTATCACGGGCCGGCACATGGTCGATGGAAGAGAGTCTACTTCACATCAATCACCTAGAACTCCTGGCAGTGGACAAGGCTTTACGTTCCCTAGAGTCCGAAGTCCTCAACAAATTAGTTCTAGTCAAGTCAGACAACTCCACAGTAGTGTCTTACATCAACCGTCAGGGGGGAACTCACTCCCCGTCTCTCTGCCTAGCCACTTGGGAGCTACTCAGCTGGTGCATTCCTCGTCAAATATCTCTTCAAGCCACCCATCTGGCCGGGAAGAAGAATATCCTCGCCGACGCCCTTTCCAGGGGTCGCGTCTCTCCGACAGAATGGTCTCTCCGCCCTCCTGTAGTCAAACACATCTTCAACGTACTTGGAACTCCACATGTGGACCTATTCGCATCTCACCTGAACAACCAGCTTCCAACCTTTTGCACCCGTCACACTCATCCTCTGGCATGGAAGGTAGATGCCCTCAGCTTCGACTGGTCAGGAATGCATGCTTATGCCTTCCCCCCGATCTCTCTCATTCAACGGGTCCTGACAAAGATAGAGACGGAGCTATCCAGAGTAGTCCTCATAGCTCCATTTTGGCCAAGACAGCCATGGTTTCCTCGCCTTCTGGATCTCCTGGTTCACTCGCCCCTCATACTTCCCAACCGGCCAGACCTCCTGTCACAACCCGGGTCTCACATTCTGCATCCGGATCCATCCACTCTCCATCTTTGTGCCTGGATGCTCTCAAAGTCTCCTTCCGATCAGCGGGACTTTCGGAGGAAGCTACGTCCTTGGCAACCAAGAGCAGACGGAGATCCACCAGAAGAACTTATGATAGTAGACTTCTCCACTTCACCAAATGGTGTGAGGAGAGAGCTGTCAATCCCCGTTCTGCATCTGTAACCTCGATTGGGGATTTCTTTCTTCACCTTTTTAATTCAGGCCTGCAAATTTCAACAATTAAGGGCTACAGATCAGCTATTGGTATCCTTCATCAGGGTTTCCATGATGGCACAACAACTTCATCCAATACATCAATTTCTCACATGATACGTGGTATGTTTAATGATCGGCCTCCTACCAGGAAGTTGATACCTTCATGGGATCTGGGCACCGTCCTGTTATCTCTCTCCAAACCTCCGTTTGAACCAGCAGGTAGTTCGTCCCTTCACCATCTTACAGTTAAAACCGTATTTTTACTGGCTGCAGCTACAGCTCGCCGCCGAAGCGAACTCCATGCTCTGTCAGTGGAACCAGGCCATATTCGATGGGAACCTGGCGGTGTACGACTAATTCCAAGGGTAGGTTTTCTCACCAAGAATCAATCTATGGGTTTCTCACCACCCGACATATTTGTACCAAGTTTGACATCATTCTCTTCAGTAGCAGAGGATAAATGGTGGTGCCCCGTGCGAGCGCTCAAGTACTACATTGCTCGCACCAAGCCCCTCAGAGGAGACATCAAGCAACTGTTTATTACGACCATCCAGCCTCATCACAAAGCCTCTGTGACCACGATCGCTCGATGGATTTCGGTGGCCATACAATGCCATTCCGACCATCGAGGATCGAAATCAGGAGCCCACGAGACACGCAGCATGTCGACTTCATGGGCCCATCTGCTTGGAGTTCCTCTTTCAGAGATTATGAAAGCGGCCTGCTGGAAAAATCCTTCGACTTTCACATCATGCTACCTGAAGGATGTCGTGCAAGCGGAGGGACGCATGGGCAAGAAAGTCCTCCAAGAAACTGCACGATCAGCAGCCCGCTCAGCCCGCACAGCTCCTTTGAAATAGATAGGCAGCTCCCGGGTATGTCTAGACAACCTTTGCATATTATTTAGAATTGCATGTAGGCCTAGTTTAGACTTTCAAGTACCACTGCATGTCCCTTCCCCCCCCTTGGAACTTTCGGTGCTACTCTGCAAATGTAGGTAAACAGAGGTGAGGTATTTTCTGTAATGGAATTCCTAAAATCCAAAGGGATTTTCCATTCTAGTAAGAAAATACTCACCTCTGTTTACCATCCCTCCCTATAAAAAAAAAAAAAAAAAAAAAAAAACTAGGACGAGCTATTACGTTACAGGGTCCTTTGTGGGCGTGGGGCATGCAGTGGACAATGAGGGTGTGGCTTGGGCGCTATTCTTTTCAGCGAATGTTTGTGCGCATGCGCGCTGATATGCAAATGTAGGTAAACAGAGGTGAGTATTTTCTTACTAGAATGGAAAATCCCTTTGGATTTTAGGAAATTCGTGACATCAACAATACATTCAAAGCGCGTCCACACCATAGTTGACGACATGGATTTCGCTTCGCACTTGCTTTCGCGTGAAGTATGAACCAAGCTTTAGGCTGTGCCTACTGGACGCGCGACAACAAGATTTGTCACACCAGGGTTCTAGATTGTGAAATTGGACCAGGTGAGAACTGCACCCACTTTTGTGAAGCTCATCGTAACTTACGATGCATCCTGTGATTTAGTTCGCAAAACATGTCATAAGTGTGACAAGTCGTAGGTGTTTTATAGCACAACACGTGACTGTTATGTATTTGACTGTGACTGTTTATAAAGTAAATGTAAATGTAAAATATTTATTGAACGCACAGTAAATGTTTGTCTGATTTTCAGCAAAGAGTTGTTGTTTCTCCCCCGAAAAAGTTTCCTGTAAAACGTAAGATAATTGACGGATGTATAATGCAGTTTAAAAGGAAAACAAGCTCACAGTGGACTTTTAGCTACTTTGAAATTTCAACTGAAATCACAGTATATTCATATTGGCTACGATGAATGATCCTTTTATAACTTCACACAACCTGTCTCGGTATTATAGTCTTGTTTATTTAATTTGTATGACTTTCGGTGGACTTCTACTTGACTGTGATTTACTTGTGCCTGACTTGTGCTGGACTTGTGCTTGATTTGTGATTGACTTGTGATTGACTTGTGCTGGACTTGTGCTTGACTTGTGATTGACTTGTGATTGACTTGTGAATGACTTGTGATTGACTTGTGATTGACTTGTGATTGACTTGTGATTGACTTGTGAATGACTTGTGATTGACTTGTGATTGACTTGTGATTGACTTGTGAATGACTTGTGATTGACTTGTGATTGACTTGTGATTGACTTGTGATTTACTTGTGATGTACTTGTGCTTGACTTGTGCTTGATTTGTGCTTGACTTGTGATTGACTTGCGATTGACTAATTTACGACTCTGGTTTCTGCAGTGTTCCAGATCTTGTAACAGCGGTACCCGTCGGCGCAGTGCCTCATGCCGTGACTCCAGTGGCTACTACACCCAGGACAGTAACTGTGACAGCTCTACCAAGCTGGTTGTAGAGAGATGTAACACACAGGCTTGCCCAATTTGGGCTGCAGAGTCATGGAGTGAGGTGAGTTTAAGATGGGGCCATCTTACGACCAATTGATGAACCTGTTACAATACTATTGAAGGGAAACAAGAATTAATATATCAGTGTTTTAGTCAAGTTCATCACAAGTCCATCACATGTACGGTCTGATGTATATCACAAGGCCTTTCACAAGTCCATCACATGTACGGTCTGATGTATATCACAAGGCCTTTCACAAGTCCATCACATGTACGGTCTGGTGTATATCACAAGGCCTTTCACAAGTCCATCACATGTACGGTCTGGTGTATATCACAAGGCCTTTCACAAGTCCAGTCACAAGTAGCAGTGGATGAACTGTAACAAAGAAATGCCTTTTCATAGTTCCTTTGAAAAGCTTGGGAGTTGACTTTGAATTAGATGATTTGTGATGGACTTGTGATGACTTTGTGATGGACTTGTGATTGGCTTGTGATGACAATTGATGGCCTTGTGATTGACTTTAGCTGGGTTGTGATGGACTTGTGATGACTTGTGATGGACATTTTATAACTTTGTGATGGACTTGTGATGAGGTTGTGATGACAACTGATGGCCTTGTGATTGAATTGCGATGAGTTGTGATGGACTTGGGATGGACTTGTGATGGACTAGTGACAGACTTGTGATGGACTTGTAATGACCTATGATGGACTAGTGACGGACTTGTGATGGACTTGTGATGGACTTGTGATGGACTTGCGATGACCTGTGTTGACTTATGATGAACTTGACTACAACCCTAATGTAACATGTCTCTTTACCTCAGTGTTCAGTGACCTGTGGCAGCGGTGAAATGCAGCGGTCCGTCAGATGTTACCAAGGCAACCAGATAGTAGACTTGACTCAGTGTGACCTGACTATGATGCCAGAAACCGCAACGCCATGTCAGATGGAGGAATGCGCAGTCTGGCACCAGGGAGAATGGGGACCAGTGAGTGGCAGTCATTTCCTTTTTAGATAAAAATTAAAAATAAAATATTGCATAAAATCTGTGGAATTTTCTTCGATAAACCTACTTGCCATTTCTTATCATCCCTTGAAGCATTCTTGGGTAAAGTACCATTCGGCTTTATAATTAATTATGGTTCAACTTCATTTCTCAATGAGAATCATTACAAGCTTTTGATGGATTCACACTCTAAATTGTTGCCTGATATTGTATGGTTCAAAGAGTAGAAAGGGACTTTCATTGTTCTCTTAAAGACCCAAATGGAGACGAAGCCGGGAAATAGAAAAACACTTGAGTAACCAACTGATAAATCTTAAGTTGTTCTTCAACTGATAAATCTTAATTTGTTCTTCAGTGTTCAGCCACTTGTGGCCAGGGTTCCATGCAGAGGCTAGTCAGCTGCATGGTAGGAGACCAGCAAACCGAGGTCACTCGATGTGACCTCAGCCTGATGCCGGATACTACTAGGTCATGTCAGGCCGCCGATTGTCCATTCTGGCATCAGGGAGAATGGAACTCGGTAAGAAAAAAAATCAGTATTTCAGCGAAATCTTTTTTTGTTTAAAACAATTTTTGGGGGGTTGTTTTTTTGTGTGTGGGATTTGAGTTGCTTTAGGTAACTATTTTCAATCAGGCGATTCACAGTGCAGTGCGCCACCAAGAGTTTGCCACGGAGAGTTCATTTTCCCAGTGCATTGTTGGAGAGGATCGACAAATTCGCAACGCGGGACATTTGAAATTGTTAGTTTTTCCAGTCAGTAGTTTCGTAAGCGTATGATTCAAGTTTATGTTTGCCCTTTTCTTTTCTTTTTATCAATATGGTGTTTTTTGTAAGCCGGCAGAACGCTATGCCCCAATCTATAACAAATTAGCTCTTGTCCAATGACACTTATTCAAATGGGCCATGTTTTGTCAACCGTAAACTTGAAAAATGGACTCTCCATGGCAAACTCTTGGTGGCGCTTTGCATTGTGAATCACCCAAATTCTCTGTGGTTAGTGTTACTGGTTAATTTGATGAACAATGAATCTGGTATTAGTTAATGGTACAGTGTATATCAAATTTCATAAAAATAATGAAATAACAATAATATTGTCATATTATTCAAAAGGGTTTGGGTTCAAGTTGTGCCTAAGATTGAAGCTCTTTGAAAACACCGAACACGCAACTATTTTATTTAAAAATGAAAGCAGTTGAATGCCTTCCCATTATTTCCACATCAACATGAAAAGTCTTTTTCTGCTCTTAAAGACAAAACTAGGTCTCCTTCTTTCTCTAAAAACAGTGTTCCGTTTCCTGTGGCCAAGGGGAGAAGCTACGATTGGTCAGCTGTTACCAAGGCAACTACGTCGTCGACTCCAGTCGTTGTGATCGCAGCCAGATGCCAGAGTCGATGGTACCCTGCGATGCGGGCGAGTGTGCAAAATGGCTGGCGAGTGACTGGGGACCAGTGAGTAATTTCAAAAATTGTTAAATTCCCCCACTTTTGTGATTTTTCTTAATTTTGGTTGTGCAAAGGTTCGTATGCCTCATATGATCATGGTGTGGTCTTTAATGACCTTTGACATTTGACCTTTCCATCCAGTGCTCTGTGACCTGTGGTCATGGCGAGAGACAGAGGCGAGTCAGTTGTTTCCAAGGCAACCAGAAAGTAGACGTCAGTCACTGTGTTTTGGATGAGAAACCAGAGTCGGTGTCACCGTGTCGGATGGAGGCGTGTGCTGCATGGCAACACGGTGAATGGGAAGAGGTAATCAAGATAACAAATCATTGAAATGAAATAGCTTAAGCATAGCTTATATGAGGTAAATAAAGCAAAGACACATACAAATGTCATGCGATCAATCTAAGTGAGTCGCTTGTCGGGAACTTTCATTTGGAGATTCAGGCCAAAATAGGGCCACTTCATCACATCACTTCATCGCATCTCTTGGTGTTCCAACTTCCATAATTTTTGAACTAAAGATGGTACCAGCATGCGGTTTTCACAGCATAATGCTGAGATTCTGCTCTTTTCAAATCTGAAAAAAAAAAATGAGCAGAGCTGACAAACGACTCATTTAGCTTGATCGCATCACACATGATTACTATCCCAAACCCCATTTCCAATCTTAAGGACTGCATAGATAAACTTTTACCTCCCGTTGATATCTTGTTTGGGTGTTTTTTTTCCTGAAATGTTGGAAGAGACAGGCAGTATTTTTTTTGTCCTAGATATTGTTCTCTCAAGGAACTTGAAATTGAGTTGGAAATTGACTTTCTTCTATTTAGTATTATAAATAGAAATAGACGACTAACAGAGCACACTGTTCGAAACATCAAGTTAAAACAACTGGTTTTTCTCAGAACCACACAACTCAAGAGAGATATTATTCACGTGGTGTTACCGCAAACTTTCCATTCTTTATTATACATTCAGTCCACACATAAGTAAATAAATAACACTGAATACAATATAATAATAAATAATAATAATGGAGTCTTATATAGCGCACGTGTCTCCCAACAATTAGGTACTCAAGGCGCTGGAAATTATGTCAATTATTAAAGAAAGGTAAATAAAGTTTATGAGAAATATGAGACCCATTATGTAGCACCTTATAATGGTTTACAAGGTGCTACAATATATCACTAAAAGATAAAAGGACTAAGAACCAAAATCCTCAAGAAATGTTCTTTCTCTCCAAGAATGTCTTTCTCTTGCAACTTTGAATTTACTGATGCTCGATTTGTTTTGTCCCCCCCCCCCCCCAGTGTTCAGTCACCTGTGGTCAAGGGACCCAACTGCGGAAGGTCAGCTGTTACCGTGGTAACCAGGTTGTGCATGATAACGAGTGCAGCCAGACCTCGGCTCCGACCACTAGGGTGTGTCACATGATAGACTGTGCCATCTGGAAACATGGCGATTGGGGAGAGGTATGCATCTTACCTACAATTCTTTGTAGTTGTTTTTGTCACATTACTTATAGCAAAAATTTCCATCATAAATCTGTGCATTTTTCTGTTATTTTTTTGCCTCACTATTGCCTTGCCATGCTAGAGCAAAAGTTTTTTCTCAAGTTTCACAGTAAGTGAAATTTCATCAAGCTGTAAACATTCCCGTTCGTAAATCTTGAGTTTACCTACCCATTACAAAGTTAACAGAAATGTATTTTGGAGTGATTTTCTAATTTTATTTGGAAGTGCACAATGAACCCATTAAAATGCACCCCAAAATAAGGAAATAATTTTTTGACAAACTAATAGTTGGTTATAAATGCGATTGGAGATATTGATGGTTTATCAGAATTTGTCAACTTTAAAGAAATTCTTAAATGATCATTTGGGATTTGCTGAGATTTGTTCAAGTGCCCTGTGTTAGGGAACACTCCCCAATTTCCGGATGCCACAGTTTTGTTTATTTCAGACTAAATTTCACGACACAGAAATTGTTCACAAAGGTTTAACAGCAATCATGATTTACGTAAAAGTACCAGTATGAAACTGAATGAATTTGAAATTTGTCGACAAAGAGGTTTAGTAATGATTCATGAGGAAAGTCGGGGGAAACGTCAAAGTGCGCCACATTACAGGACTCCACTATAGATATGGACTGGTCATAGAATGGAAACATATTCAAATCCAGTTTTGGACCAAGATTTCTTTGTAGTCTTTAGTCTTAAGTGACATGACAAATGTTACCTGCTTCTGGTTTTAGTGTTCTGGAACATGCGGCGAAGGAGAGAAGCAGAGATTTGTCGGCTGTTACCAAGGCAACCGAGAGGTTGAGGCACACCAGTGTGACCAGGCCAGCAAGCCCGACAGCGTGACATCGTGTGAGATGGCTGAATGCCCGTTGTGGCACCAGGGAGAATGGGGACCGGTGAGTAAATATCGATTGGAACACGATTCTCTGAAACTGTTGGTTAATGTTGTTCTTTGTGGAGTGCTGTAGTCCAATAATTATGGTGTCTGACTCGTTTGTGATTGTAATTGGTTGTGAACCCAGATGAGAACATGGTGCTTGTGTTCTTAGGCAAGACACCTAACTACAATCTCCTCTCATCACCCAGGAGTATAATGGGTACCTGTGAGAGTAGAGAGCAGAATGTGCTGATTTTGAGCTGCTGCAGGTAACTGCAGCTGCTTCAGGTAACTGGTCTCTAGTGTTGTAGTCGAGACCATCATCAGACACAGGACCAGACACAAGCCCATCACAATACCATTCAAAAGACCAGCCACAAGTAACAGGGCACGAATAATGACAAAGGAATGCCTTTGTTGCATTTCATTTGAATAGCTTGTGACTTGAATCGAGACTGGAGGTCTTGTGATGGTCTTGTGATGGTCTTGTGATGGTCTTGCGATGGTCTTGCGATGGTCTTGTGATGGTCTTGTGATGGTCTTGTGATGGTCTTGTGTTGGTCTTGTGATGGCTTGGTGATGGTCTTGTGATGGCCTTGTGATGGTCTTGTGATGGTCTTGTGATGGTCTTGTGATGGCCTTGTGATGGTCTTGTGATGGTCTTGTGATGGTCTTGTGATGGTCTTGTGATGGTCATGTGATGGCTTGGTGATGGTCTTGTGATGGTTTGGTGATGGTCTTGTGATGGTCTTGTGATGGTCTTGTGTTGATCTTGTGATGGTCTTGTGATGGCCTTGTGATGGCTTGGTGATGGTCTTGTGATGGCTTGGGGATGGTCTTGTGATGGCCTTGTGATGGCCTTGTGATGGTCTTGTGATGGTCTTGTGATGGTCCTGTGATGGTCTTGTGATGGTCATGTGATGGCTTGGGGATGGTCTTGTGATGGCCTTGTGATGGTCTTGTGATGGTCTTGTGATGGCCTTGTGATGGTCTTGTGATCGCCTTGTGATGGACTTGTGATAGTCTTGCAGGGTCTCGACTACAACACTGCTGGTCTAATGGCCTGATAATCAGGGGTAATCATTGTGAAGCATTAACACTTTTTCTAAAATCCATCCCTTTTATTGTAGTGTTCGGCAAGTTGTGGTGATGGGGAGCAGCAGCGAGCTGTTGCCTGTTACCAAGGTGACCATGTGGTAGACATCAGCCAGTGTGACCTGACCCTCATGCCAGAAAGCGTGACGTCATGTAAGCTCACGGAATGTGCTTACTGGCAGCACGGACAATGGGGGCCGGTAAGCTTCCAAATTTTTCTTTTTTTTCTTATATTGTATTTTCTTGTTCTAGCCACCACTGTAGTAGCCTTTGGCCTTATTGTCTGGAAAAAAGCAAGCCCAGAAAGGCTAGTCCAAGAGCCAACAAACTTCTTTTCAATTTAATCAGATGGCTATTAGGCCAACAAAAAAAATTAGTCGGTCTCTGGTCAGCGGGCGCGTCGATTTTAATCATGCGCGTCAACCTTTTTTTTTTTTTTAAATTAACACGGAAGCTACAACAGTGTCCTCTATTGCCGCACCTCCTCAAATTTTTGTACCAAGGAGCACCAAGGAATGGGGATATTGCACCAAGGCAAATGATAAAGGGCACCAAGGCAAATTATGGAGGACACCAATGTATAATGAGGACACAAAAAAGCAAAATAGTACCCACCTTGTCTGTACAGTTCAAGCTTGAAAAAAAAAAAAAAAAAAAAAACACGTGTCGCCGCATCAATTCCGGAACTTCGGTCAGACCAGAGACCGATTATTATTTTTTTTGGCCTTAACTGGAAGTCTTTTCATGCATATGGTCTACACAATGGGCAGGATTTAGCTCATGCATTGATGTTACGAGGTAATCCTATACAACAGCACTGCCCGGCTCACAAGCGACTGTCAGTCAGTGAGATAGATACGAGGAGGATACTAGGCACTCGCGGACCAGCAAAAATAGTGAATTCCAAATTTCAAGTAGCCCGCCTACACATTTAATTTTGAAGTTGACCATTTTCAAGAGAGGATGATCTATAAACTCTGGCATTGATACATCATGAACAGGCCATTTTGAATATTGTGTGTAAATAATGTTTGACATAGCAAGAGGTAACACAAGAGAGAACTGAATTATTGTCATGTCGCAGATAATTGCTATTGAATGGCAAAGTTATCAGCTGAATTTATTTGTTATTTTTTGTTTAGTGTTCAGTCACCTGTGACGAAGGCGAGAAACGGAGGTCAGTCAACTGTTACCAAGACAACCAGATAGTTGACGCCAGCCAGTGCGATGCGTCTATATTGCCAGATACTGTGATGGTGTGTCAGATGGTGGAATGCCCTGCCTGGAAAGGAGAGGACTGGGATCCGGTATGCAAGTCTAATTTCCGGATTATTTTATTTTATTTCTTTCTGGTAATGAAACCAAGGATTCCTCAAAAGTGCCCCGGGCACTGTAGCTCGCAAGCCTGAAGAAACCTGTAGAGAGAAGACAATGAGAAGAAATTACAATTTTAGAGGTGGGAGGAAAAGCCCAGAGGAGTATTCTGAGGAAAACCCACGGAATCAGGTAGGGTCTGAAAACCCAATCCACATATTGGCCCAGGCGGGATTCGAACCCAAATCACAGCGGTGGAAGGCAAGGAAAGTACGGCTACGCCAACTTGACTCCCTGACTGACTGAGAGGAAAGCTCAGGGTTCTGAAATAAAAATAAACTTCCCCAGAAAAAGAAAATGTGGTTGTGCCTGGAAATTTGAAATTTGAATTGAAATATTTGAAAAAGTTTATTTGGGGAACTGGAAAGACTTAGACTAAACATCTCCTGATCTGTGGCATTTATTTAACCAGTTTGAAGAATGAAGTATTTACGTGTAGAGGCCGGTTCATGCGAATGCGGTGCGAATTTGACGTCATTCGCTGCGATATTTGCCAGAGATGAATGTGTTCAACTTTTGCGAACTTCAGCGCGAAAACCCGCTCTGACGTCACAAATTCACATACGCGTTCCGCTTTCACACCGAGTTTAAACCAGGTTTAAGGATTGGTTTTTGCCTCAGCCAAAAAAGGAAGCTTGTGAACTTTTTTGTTGTTGTTTGCAGTGTTCGGTAACCTGTGGCCAGGGAACGCGACAACGAACCGTCAACTGTTACCAAGGCAACCTGAAGGTCGACATCAACCTGTGTGACCCCACCATGATGCTGGAGACAACCCTGCCATGTGAGTTGATTGAGTGCACAGACTGGTACCAGGGAGAGTGGGGACCGGTGAGTAAAAGCCTTCAGCATTAATTAAGAATTTGTTCAACAAAGAGATGAATATTTTTCCAAATCTTATAAAGGGTGCATTCGATTAGCTTACTTGGGTTGACTTGGGTTAGCCATGAGCCGATTGATTAGCTCTGATGTCAGTCTCGACAATCATTGTGAGCAGCTACCACAGACTGTGCTAGCGGAGCAGGTTCCCAGGGTTCGAAATTAGCGGTAGCTGGCGAGTCAAAAAATTATTGGGATACGGCAAAGATGAAAGGACAGGAAGAAAGATATCGTGAAATTCAGACAGAAAACACTATCAATTTGTGTCTAATTTTATCAACTGTTTTAAAAGGTAATTTTTTAGATCTGTTAATCAAAAACATGACAATTAAAATTGCCTCAGAATTGAGCTTGAAAATACGCCATTTTGTATTTGAGATAAAAAAATGCGGCCTAGTGAAAATGCCAGCGGGCTATTTAAGAGTCTGTTTCAGTAGCCCGGCTGGCTAGTGAACAAAAAAGTTGAGGTGGAACCCTGGGTCCGTTGTGGAGTTACATCACACGCACACGTTGGTTTTTCCAAGAAGCTGACAATATGGCAACTGGACAGTGGGAAAGATTTTTTAAAAAGTCAAGTGGACCAGAAAAAAACTTTATAATTATTTATTATTCTCATTGCGACATCCGAGCCTATTAAAATATTCCAGTCCGACGTTGTTCATTTGTGCAAATGACAGAAAAGCAGTCAATCTCAAAGTTAGACTTACTCCAAAAGGGGCTTTTTGTCTACTACTACAGGTTTTCACATCGTCATAGTGCATCTATGTCTTGGTCCTCCATAAGTGGACTTCTCCACTGAGGAAGTTTTCTAATCTTAGGATGTATCCAAAGCTGGCCTCCGTCTGTTGTTGTCATTTTGTGATTATTTTATGGCAATTGGCTGGGATAGCTTACGAACGTCTTTTGACTTATTTCCTGTGGGGTCCCTTGGTAGAAGATGTGGAAGGAAAGTATATTTTAGAGGTAGGAGGGAAAACCCCAGAATGATATCCTAGGGGAACCCATGGAATCAGGTAGTGACTGAAAACCCAATCCACTTGTTGGCCCAGGCAAGAATCAAACCCAGGTCACAATGATGGAAGGCGAGGGAAGTACTGCTAAGCCAGCCTGAACCTGTTACTATGTAGTTGTAATTGTCGTAGACCCAGACAGTAGTTCTCGACAAGAGATTCACAAGCAGCCTTTCTTTCCCACATTTCTTGTTTCTCCAGTGCTCGGTGTCCTGCGGTTCCGGTGAGATGCAGCGTAGGGTCAGCTGTTCCCAAGGCGGCCGGAATGTGGACATGGTCAACTGTGACCTGACCTCAATGCCGGAGACGGTCACGGGTTGCCAGAAGCCAGAATGCCCTGAATGGCAGGCAGGCCAGTGGGGACAGGTAAAAGAACACTTGAGATGTATTCTCCAGGTCTATCATACATATTCCCAATCTATTGAGGCCGCTGGTTAAGTGATAGGTAATTATCCAAAATACCATGGCCCAATTTCATGGCGCTGCTTAACAGTTAGCCGAAAAGTTGCTTACCTTAGCAGAAGATTGTGCTAACCTTAAGCACTATTTCATGGCGTGGATGTGCTAATGGTGGAGCGTGCATAGAGATTCCCATTGTTACGTCATTGAGTTCAGCAACTTTTCCCTCGGGGGTTATTAACGTGCTTTTGCTATGCTTACTGCTTACGGTTTCCATGAAATAGACGGAGGCTAAGTTAGCAGAAAATAGTGTGCTTAGCTGCATCGTGAAATTGGGCCAAGGGTTTCAGATAATAATTCTGTGCTTGTAGAGCTAGATTGGATGGTCTGAGCTAACCCTGCACAAACGCCTTAGTTCAGGGATGTACTCATTCCTTTGCCAACCCATGAAATTACCTTACTGTATATGCCACTGTTAGCAGCGGTTCTCCAGTTAAAGTAAGCAAAGCCATGCAATGGGCCTTGTTCACGAGTTGGCCATACTGATTTGAAAGTTAGGTAAAATCTTAATTTTTTGAACTTGTAAAGAGAAATGAAGGCAACTTAATTTATAAGCAATTCCAGTCTGCCTCAATAAATAATTTTAAATTTCTAATTAAACATTCCCTAATGTTTTAAGCCATATTTTAAAAAAATGACAGTAAAATAAGGCTACATTGTGCCTGCATAAATAGTCTGGTGCCATCCCATTCAACAGTTAACAATTAATGAAATACATTCGCGAACTCGAAAAAATTGGCCAACTCGTGAATAAGGCCCATCGAACTAAGGCCCAACACATGAACTTGAATCTTGTTCCATGGTAAAGGTTTCATTAACCATCTGTCAGTTTCAAATGTAGCTTTTAATGCCTAGTCCAGATTTACATAAGATCCCTTTCTTGCATCCTCATTTCTCAAGTGTTCCACAACCTGTGGGCAAGGGATGATGCAGCGCCAGGTGGACTGTTACCAAGGCAACAGCATCGTTGACCTCAGCCAGTGTGACCTGACCCTGATGCCAGCTAGCTCCAGAGATTGTGAGCCGGGACAGTGTCCAGTATGGCGGCACGGCTCCTGGGGACCGGTGAGATCCATAACTGGTCCTCCAATTCAAAGTTTGAAAATCTAATATGATTATTTAAAGGGAATATACATCATTTGCTTTTGCTGTAATTTTCAGAAATGGATGGAATTGGGGGGTTGGAAATATATAGCAAATATAGTTACACTGACTTTCTTGAGGTTTCGGGTTCGAAAATGCTATAAAAACCAAGAAAAACGATCATTTTCCTGTAGTCTGGTTCCCTGACTCCATATAAGAAGAAACAGAGCAGTTTACATACATTGGGTAATTGTAAGGTCAGGGAACCAGTCTAGCTGGCTCGTACCCGTTCATAGGTTTGTAATCGATTGCAAACAAGTGCGATGGTCAATTGGGGCCAGTATTTGAAAAAAAGCCAGTTGTTTCCAACGCTGATCGGCCGATCAGCGTTGGAAATTGATACAAAAAAAACCACTTTTCTTGAAAATGACAGTATACCAGGTGCCATGATTTTACAGGATGCTTTACACTGTCATTCACTAACAGTCCAGCAAGGTATTTCAAAATGATTTGGTAGTTTTATTTTTTGATGTTTGCAAATGTTGTATTTTCCCTTTAACCCAAAAGCACCTTTGTTATACCTCTGTCTTGAATACTGTATTTTCATTGGCGCAGAACGATCACGTGTTAAGTTTATAAAAAGTCATGGCACACTCCTTGTGGGATATCACGTACGGTACGGTGCGTACGGTGTGAAACGCTTGTATCGTTGGTACCCACGCTATTTTCACCATGTTTTCATGCATGAGTGGGAGCAGTGAACTAGCAGACGATCAGCTGTTTCAAGCACGCGACATGCGTGTGAGTTGGCGTTTGATTGTCATGATTGTTGTGTTTACTACTGCTTGTTTTCGTGATTTTTACATCAAAATCCAAAGAATCCAAGACAGAGGTCTCCGGGTGCATAGTTCGCCTCGGGTGCTATGCGCCCCTCGGGTGTTCAAAACATCATATCCCACATCACAACAGTCAACAATTGTTAACTGCTACATTGTTATACATTGTATTTATTCCCTGATGATTCCATAAAACTTTAAATTGCTGGGACGGTTTTGGGCAGTGCATGAATGACAGGCAAACACTTTGGGGAGGTAGAAAGATTTAGGGGTTGAAGATTTTGTAAAAAGTTGTGCACGCATGTCAGTTATTCTTGTACGTGTGAGTCATTAGTTTGTTTTTGAAATAAGTGTCCAGATCAACTAAAAACTCGAAAGGATGGTGATCAATATCTTAAAATATTACCTGTAAAATGACTGGTGAGAACTAGGTATCCAAAATCTCAAAACAGGGTTGTTCAAAAGACAAGAATAAAAATCACAGGCCATTGTTGTATTCGCTGAATTTGAATTTTCTCATTGGCTATTGATTAGAGCACAAGACTGGTGTTACAAATGACCTTCATGTTTAATTTTTTGTCAGTTATTTACTTGAAGTGGATGTTTTTGTCTTGAAAAGGACGGTTTCTTCTAATTTCTCCTGATAAATTTTAGATTGTTTTATCTTGAAATATGATATTTTTGCAGTGCTCGGTATCCTGTGGTCTGGGTTACCAGCTGAGGGGTATCCAATGCCGTCATCCTAACGACACCCCCGTCCCCGACGATCAGTGCAGTCCAGACGACCAGCCACCCAACCGACAGGAGTGTCGCACGCCGGCCTGCCCCGCCCCTACCTTACCAGCCACCGATCCGCCAGAAACACAGCCGCCAGTCAAACCAGCTCCCACGGTTCCCGCCACCACGGCCGCAGCGCCGGTCCCCGCCGTCCTCCGCAGACCCTCAGCGTTGACTCCCAGGCAGTCGCCAAGACCCCCACGGCCATCGTCCAGTCAACGGGCGATCGCTGACCCCTCATCATCCTCATCGTCGACCATCTCGGTTGCCAGGAAACCCTCGGATCCAAGACCTCTGCCCAAGTCATCGCCGGTCACTGCCATGGAGGTACTCAGAGAGGAACCCAGGCGACGGTACAGCAGTCAGTGGCGCACAGGAATGTGGACCGAGGTGGGTGTCATTCAGCTCACAGGAAATGTGTCAGATTCATTCTTCTTGGTTGGTTCATCTCCTAAATACTCCACGTGGGAGTTTATCCAGGAGACCAGAAACACCGGGGCAAACCCCTTCTCTTAGCGATAAGTGTTACTGGGTTCTTTTACGTGCGTTAGGCCTTATACAACACACGGGACCTACGGCTTACGTCCCATCCGAAGGACGAAGCAATAATGGTGGAGTGTCATGCTCAAGGGCACAATTGTCCACCCGGCGGGCTCGAACCCACGCCACTGTTGCCTCTGAAACACCAGAGCATGAGTCCGGTGTTCTTTACCGCTAGGCCATGACACTCCACTTCTTAAACCTAAAGCCACCTTCCATGAACAGATTTTCCATTCATACAAATATTTAACTCCTAGCACCACAAGTCTTTCTTTAGAAAGAAGAAGAAATATGTTCAAAGCTGAGTAATTTTGAGTTAGGAGATTCGTACTTTCCAATCCAAAAACATGAAGATGGTACTCACAATTTTTAGTAGTTACATTTCGCTCCTAAACTAGGAGTACCATCATGAGTACATTTTTGGATTGAAAAACGAATCTCCTAACTCATGTTTTACCGACAATCCGATGAACTTATTTAAAGAGCTGAGTAATTTTGTTCCAAATTTTCAGTGTTCTACAACATGTGGATACGGAACCCGTGAACGTTATGTCAGCTGCAGAGACCGATATGGCTACATCTCTGAAGAGCGAGATTGCAACACTGCCAATAGGCCAGCCGCCATAGAGCAATGCCAGATCAAACCGTGTCCACACTGGAGGACTGGCCAGTGGAATCGGGTAAGAATTGGTGGAATCAAGTTGTTGTTATGTTGTTGATATTTGTGGATGTCAATACTGCCAGTGGGCCAGCTGCCATAGAGCAGTGCCAGATCAAACCGTGTCCACACTGGAGGACCAGCCAGTGGGATCGGGTAAGAATTGGTGGAATCAACTTGTTGATCAATTGTTGATATGTGTGGATGCCAAATGTAAGAGAGATTTGCAACACTGCCAAGAGCAATGCCAGATCAAACCGTGTCCACACTGGAGGACCAGCCAGTGGGATCGGGTAAGAATTGGTGGAATCAACTTGTTGATCAATTGTTGATATGTGTGGATGCCAAATGTAAGAGAGATTTGCAACACTGCCAAGAGCAATGCCAGATCAAACCGTGTCCACACTGGAGGACTGGCCAGTGGAATCGGGTAAGAATTGGTGGAATCAACTTGTTGATTAATTGTGGATATGTGTGGATGCCAAATGTAAGAGAGATTTGCAACACTGCCAAGAGCAATGCCGAATAAACCATACCTGCACCGAAAAACTGGCCGGTGGAATTTGGACACTAAACCTAGAATCAACGTGTCGATTGTGACCAAAAAAGAATATGGGGATAATTATTTTCTTTGGATTCACAGTTTTGGTTTTGCAAATATGTTCCAGAGCATAGTTAAGTCCAACTTCAAACTTACTCTTTTGAAAAATTGAATGGCCATTGTAAAGAGGATGATCTATGTTTGAACAGTTTTTTTAAAATGTATGTCTAATAGATCAGCTGCACAGAAGAGCCTGTTTATGACAGATCATTTCACATATGAAACAAGAATAACACAGGATCTCATGTTTAATGTTGCAGTGTTCAGTAACCTGTGGACAAGGCACTACCTCCCGCTACGTTGCATGCGTCAACGGCGATAGCTCCATAGCTGTGGATGAGGACTGTGACCTGAGAGACAAACCCTCAGAGACAGACGTCTGCAGCCGCCTGGATTGCCCCGTGGACCAACCAGTCGCTTCAGGGATGGCCAGCGAGAGGGCTTCAGCTCTGTTGAGGGGAAGGTGGAGAACGGGACAGTGGAGTAAGGTGAGTGGGAGCAAGAATCCGGGCCATTCTTCTAAGGCAAAGATTGGTAGAGTAAGATCAGTGGGATTTGGTGAGTTGGTTGAGAGGTCACAGGAGGACTTAGGGCTTATGGAATGGGCTGTGAGAAAGGTTTGGGTAAGATTGGCCAGTGGAGTAAAGCAAGGGGTGTAAAGAAGAGAGGTATGACCCAAGGTCTCTGGGATGGCCAGTGAGGGGGACGCAGCTCTGTTGAGGGGATGGTGGAGAACGGGACAGTTGAGTAAGGTGAGTGAGAGCAAGAATCCAGGCCATTCTTCCAACTTAAAAGGCAAAGCTTGGTAGAGTAAGATCAGTGGGATTTGGTGAGTTGGTTGAGAGGTCACAGGAGGACTTGAGGGTTTTGGAATGGGCTGTGAGAAAGGTTTGGGTAAGATGGGTCAGTGGAGTAAAACGAGGGGTATAAAGAAGAGAGGTATGACCCAAGGCCTCTGGGACGGCCAGTGAGAGGGATGCAGCTCTGATGAGTGGAGTAAGGTGAGTTGGTTGAGAGGTTATGGTGGAACTCCAGGCTTTTGGGGTGGTTAGTGAGAGGCTGCAACTCTGGCAAGGTAAAGTTGGAGAATGGTGCAGTAAGGTCAGTGGGTCTACAAATGAGCATTATACTTGAGGCCTCTTGGATGGCTGGCGAAAGGGTTGCAGCTCTGAAAATGGTTGGGGGTACAGGCCTTCAGGATGTCCTGTGAGAGAGCTGATAGAGAAGATGGAGAATGTTTGAGTAGTGTGAGAGGTGTTACAAGTTGGAAGCTCTGAAGCCCCTAGGATGGCTAGTGAGAGGACTGCAGCTCTGATAAGTGGGGGTTACAGAGTGAGACTTGTCTAGGGGCTTGAGAAGACTTGTGATAGACTGACTTCAACATTCCCTGGTCTCATTTTCCTTCTTAACTCACTCAATGCCTGTTGTTATGTTCCCAGTGTTCGTCAACCTGCGGCAGCGGTCTGCGGCAACGGATCGTCATCTGTCAGGATGAGACCGGCGACGTGCAGACCTGCTCCGAGAAGAACCGGCCGCAGAACATCGAGGCTTGTAATACGGGGATAGCCTGCCCGCTGTGGAGCTTTGGCGAATGGGGACAGGTAGGTCAACATGCTCGTTACAAAGCTGGCAATTTGAGGTTTTTGTGGGTGCACATTGAGTGGTACTTGGTACTTGGTTCTTCTCCTAAGGACTTCCACAAGGGAGTAGAACTAGGAGGCCAGAAACACCGGGGTGAACCTCTTCTCTTACTTAGCGATAAGTGTTACTGGGTTCTTTTACGTGCGTTAGGCCTTCTACAACACACGGGACCTCCGGCTTAACGTCCCATCCGAAGGACGAAGCAATAATGGTTAAGTGCCTTGCTCAAGGGCACAAGTGTCCGGGCCCGGTGGGGAGAAAGTGTTTTTGAGTGAAACTGCTTGACAAACTTTTATCAGTTCAATCAGTATGCTTATATTATCTCCAGGTCTTCTTTTCTTGACTCAAAAGACGTATCTCTCCCTGGTGTTAATCGCAAACTTTCTACAATTCACATCTTTCCCATATGAAGCTTCAAGTTCAAAATTTTTCTCTTGACGATGAAACAATTTAAGAGGCTAAAAGTAACAATACATGTACCTTTAATAAAATCAATTTAAAAAATGATACAGTCACAGATTTTAATCTTAAGGATGCTTTAAATTGGTGAAATTAATATCTTTAAAATATTTTCTGTTTCGATTGCTATGTATTGATTCTACTTTAATTTAGAACCACTTCTTCACAAATTGATTTTTAGACCAGTGCTCCTTTAATTTCCCATTGACTGTAAACATGAACTTTAAAGGGGATTTACAACATTTGTTTTTGCTTCAAAAAATAAATGTTATAGCAAATATTGTTAAACTGACTTGCTTCACGTTTTGGGCCTGTAGATGCTGGAAAAACCAAGAAAACCAATCATTTTCTTGTTTTCTGGTTCCCTGACCCCACTTAAGATGAAACGGAGCAATTTGTAGACTTTGGGGAATTGTAAGGTCAGAGAATCAGTCTGGCAGGCTTGTACCTCTTCACAGGTGTGTAATAAAGTGCAAATAAAATGCGGAATATCTAAATATGAAAAATTAGGAGCAGTTTTGAAAATAAACCAGTTTTCTCCAATGCTGTTCGGCTGACCAGCGTTGGCAAAATACCATTTTTCTTGCAAATGTCAGCACACCAGGAGCCACAATTTTACAGGATGCTTTAGACTGTCATTCCCTAACAATCCAGTAAGGTATTTTGTGATAATTTGATCATTTCGTTTTTTGATGTTTGCAAATGTTGTATCTTCCCTTTAACCCCATTACTAAGGGCTGTGTGAATCTGTGATCACATGCCCCTAAGCACAAGAGTGGACACAGCGGGTAGCATGAACATCACCACTCCCCTCCCCCCCCCACCTCTACCCCTACCCCACTAAGAAATGTCCCTCTGTTAGTCCTCCATCAACGATCACTCCAGCTTAATCTCGGCTGAGGCCAGCCTCCTGTCTCTATTAATCTCGGGACTAGTTTCAGGTTTTGCTTGAGTTCTTGTATTTCCACACGTGCACAGTGTTCACTTTCATGGAATGAGTCAACAGCTATTGGTTGAACTGTCAAGAAGGTTTTGTAGATGTTGTGCTCGGGCATATACAATTTTGGTTTGTTCTTGTTTTTGCCTTGGTTTACGCAACGTACCATTAAAAGGTAAACCAAGGTTTATCCCTTCCCATAAGGCAGAAATCTTTTCTGTGTTTACGGTTTTCAAAACCACCTGGATTCTTTTGTGGCCAAATTGCACAAGTCCAACTTTGTACTGCCACATTTGGCCAAAAAGTTCAAATAAAGCATATTTTGAAAATTAAAAAAACTTCCCTATAGAATCTTCTCTTATTGGTTGTTTTAACAAAACACGTAAAACGTATTTAAACAAAACATGTAAAACGTATCCTAAAATAGCGCAAGTATCAAAGGAAAACATAAAAAGGAACAAAATGAATTATTTTCCTTACCTACATACCTTGATAACTTTTAGGATGTTACCATAAATACACACAATTGCTTTGGCCTAATCTAACTGAAAGTAATAGAACTACATTAATATAAGCAGAAAATTGAAGAAGTTGGAGAAGAAAAGTGACATTAGTCAACACTCAGTCTTTTAGATAAGTTTCCACAAAGTGAAACAGCTTTATCATGGACAAAAAATTAACGATTGTGAGTGACGATAATCCAAGTTTCTAACACCATGGCACTCTTTAATACAGCTCGTTGTCTACTGAAGCTTATCTTTGCCTTGGTCTTAAAAAAAACTCAGACCCTTTCAAAACTGAATTTCATTTTAAAAAAATGAAATCGCACGGCTAGTTACCCCCCTATGAGAGCCGAAACCCAGAAGGCATGGGGACAAATTAGATTATCCCAGATATGACGTCTTCAGTCAGCGGGTTACTCCATACCCCAAGGGGGTTGGGTTATAATCAGACCAGGGGAGGCAAAGCTCCTGATGGCTCCAGTTATTCAATTTACAGGGTCAGAGTGACACCCCTCTTTTGCCTGATTCATTTTCTAGACTTTGTTTGGGGGTTTCGATTGATACTTGGTCTTTCTTTTTAGTGCATTGCTGAGCTTTGTTGCAGATTTTGTCCTGTTTTGTTTTGTGAATGCCTCTCATTTTTGTTGTTAATATTTTCGTGTTTGAAAGTTTGTTTTGATGTGACATTGAATTGGAATAAATGTTCCAGATATCATTTTGAATAGGGAGGGTAATAAATGTTTTTTAGATTTGAACTAAAGTGGACTGGTGGTATGTTGTAACTTGTTCAATAACTGAATTTAATGCCAATGAGCACAAAAGGCAGAGGATTATCTTAAAACTGATACTTTTTGGCTTTTTAATGAACAATGATATTAATATTAACGATTATAATTTATTCATTGATATAGCAGAATTTCAATCAAATAGGTTCAAATTTGTTAAACAGCCTTTGTGCCGAGGATTTTTCAAAATTATGATTTAAATTGCCAACAAATATCAACAGAGAGCTTGCATTTACACATTTCTATTTGGGTGATTTTCTTATTATTTATTACTGTCTCCCAGATACCCGAGCATCCTGGCAATAGGCACCGGGTACTGCTATAATAGCGCTTTTAACTAACATCAAGGCGCTTTACTTTATTGTTACCCTGATCATTGGGCCCATTAAACATTCCAAATACCATCTCTGCTCCCTGGGGAGTACACATTTCGGCGCAGAAAATCCATCACACAATCCTCTCTGCCCTCATAAGTACCCATTTACTCCTGGGTGGGGCGAAGCAATGAGTGACAATGTCCCATGCACCACAACCCGAGGCTGGACTCGAACCCACAACCTGCACAATTACCCGCACAGCACAAGTGTAATGCTCCACACCACGAGGCCACTCCTATCAAAACAAATCAAAAGCCGGATTTTGGTTATTGGTAGATGTAGGAGTTTCATAGACAATTTCATTTGGGTATCCAACTCGCTCATGTTCACCATCTTCCTATCCTTCTATTCCTCCTCCAGTGTTCAGCTACCTGCGGGGGAGGGATCAGGTCCCGCCTGGTCCTCTGTCGTCTACGCAGCGGCCGGACGTTATCGGACTCCTCCTGCAACCTCCTGTCCAGGCCTGAGAACACCAGGATATGCAGTGCCAACCCTTGCCCGACACGCCACAGCTGGAGGACGCGCCCTTGGAGTTGGGTAGGAAGACACTGATCTCTGCTTTCTTTCGTTTAGATTTTTGATATAATCCAGGGATGGATCCAAGAAACGGGAGTGGGGGTTCATTATCTAGTGCTACACCCAAGGAGTAGTAGTTCAGTCCTTTTCACACTGTTGTTTTGCCTACCCATGTTGAATTCAACACAGTTCCACTCTGGGTCCAATTTCATAGCGCTGTTTAAACAGCCGATTTTGTGCTTACCGAGCCACCATCTATTTCACAGAGACCGTAAGCAGTAAGCATAGCAAAAGTACGCTTAGCCCAGAGGAAAAAGTTGCTTAAATCAGTGATTTAACAATACAAAATCTCCATGTTAGCACATCCATGTCATGAAATAGTGCCTAAGCAGTATAATTTTCTGCTGTAGTAAGCAAAACTTTTCTGCTTGCTGTTAAGCAGTGCTATGAAATTGAGCTCTGGACGGAACCATTTCCAGTTGAAAACAGGTTTACAAGGCATATGTTGATTGCTGTCTCACTGCTTTGTACATACATGGGTTGGCTGTAGATTTAGGATTTTTGTTCCCCTGGGTACAGCCTCTCGACCCTGGTCAGGACCAGGGGTGCATTCCACCAGTGCAGAGCACTTGACCAATGTAGACCCCTGGTTGGATTCTTACTAGTGTGAATGGGTGCTCAAAATGGCAAGCCTAGACCTGGGTCCGACACCAGGGATTTTAGATAGTGTTAGAGTGCCTTATGTTCATAAGATGTTGCCTGGTGTTGGAATAGGTGATAGTGCTGCTTAGACAGCACATTTTGTGTGGGTGAAAAGCTGCTGGAAACAAAAAAAGTATTAACAAAATAGAGAAGTTCGGACCCCTTTGAGCCCCACTTGGATCTGTCCCTGGTATATACATGTATTTAATCACTTTCTCACCATTGTGCAACATTTCACTTTACTTTGAGAAAATGACCTTGAAATGACTTTGTAGCTACAAAATTACGCAGAGGAAGTACGGCTAAATAGTTTAGTAATACTGGGCCATGGAGTGATCTTATCATTCTGTCAGTGAAAAAAAATTAATGCGGGACTAAAATTAGAGTATGGTTAACTCTACAAAACAGCTTGCCGAAGTATTCTTATTTAGAGGTAGGCCACTTTGTGTGGCTTATTTAGCTCATAGACTCTTGAGACATTATAGACTCTATGCACAAACAATAGAGGGCACTTTTGACCACTTTTGAGCCCCAGTGGGAGGGACACACTGCTTGCAAGTACTACATGTAGTTCGCGCGTGTGGAGTGCGAAGTATGCACAATTTTTTTTTTATTCTGCATGTGCCGATCCCATTGCATCTCCACATCAGCATCAGTTGTCATCAGCAATACGTTTGAATGCCCCTCCCAGTGGTCTCCCCCAACTCTCCCTTTGTAACCGTTGAGGGGGTACCTGTGCACGGAGCCCATACTTCAAAAATTTGCTTTTTGGTTTGGCTAGCCTGCTACCTTTTAACCTCTACAGGTTGCTATTATAGACTGAACGACAGACAGATCTTATATTTGAAAACAGTTCAGCAGGGTTTTGAAACTCTGAATGCTTGTGGTTTCACATCGGCTCTTTGTATCATTCATAAATTGCCGAATCTGGTGAACCAAATTATGATTCTGTGGATCACAAGGAAGGTTACCCAGACAGATCTAGCTTTGGACCAACTGATCACTTTGTAGTTTGCCAAACTTGTCCGAATTGGAAAAATCCAATTGTAAGTTTATTGCCCATAAAATCCAGGTACCATGGCCATTTAACTCCGAAGTTATAACCTTAAAAAGGCATTGCTTCAGAAAACAAAGAGATTCAGCTGTTCTGCCAATTTATTGCCAGGAACCAAAGTTTTGAGGTTCGTGAGACATATATTTGGACTGTTTATTTGGTGATGGTCGGGTCAGTGTGGTTGAGAAAGCTTGTCCAAGTTTTACAATTCCGAGTTTGTCTGCATCAACATTATTTCCGCCACCAGTTCTAGAACTATTTAAAAAATACTCATGCTAATTTTGACAACACTTACCGAGCCTGGTTAGAAAGTGTTGTTGGAAGTCTGCTGAGATATTGGCTGTTGATGTGCATGGTTTCTGCAAGGAAACGCTTCTTCATTATTTTCTTACAACTCTCTGTCATTGGCTCATGCAGCTCCACCGAGTACGGATGAGTCCTCTAATTTATTAAACACAATATTAATCTTGCTATGCTTACAAAAATGTACGGAACTTGCATATTGCAGTAAGTTTGTGAATTGTTTTGCTTCTCGTAGCTCAGGCTTGTGGACTTAAAAGAAACTGTACTTCAGTTAAAAAGTCATTCATATTTGTAAGGCCCATCCAGCATTTTTTAAACTGATTTTGTTTTCACTTTGTTAGTGTGTATCGGCTGTTTGTTTATCACAGCCGGCAGTGGTGCTATAATTTTTGTAAACTAGTTGTTTTTCCGTTTTGAGCTCTGATTTTGTGGGGTTGGTGCTAATATGATTTCAGTTTAGGTTTAGCCTACCTCGTAAGAAGTATTCCTTCTTTTTTTTAGAACTGTTTACTAAATAACCTTTGTAGATATTGCCATTTTTTAATCTAAACTTTGCCTGGAAGAGTATGATAGCCGCTCATCGGACTTCAATATCTTGTAAAAATCTAAACATTCTTGTACAAACAATTTTTCCGAGTGGCAACATTTCTCATACCACCTGGACTTGGGACCCGGCAATTTGTATTTATCAAGTTTCGTATTTATTTATTCATTTCTGCCTATAAATATATTCCGTTTTTTAATTTACATTTCGTCTGGTGTACATAAATATTCACATAAAATACATTTTATGTTTACAAAAATGTCAACATACATGTACATGCAGTCAATAGGTTTTAAACATGCATGCCACTTACATTATGTAAATAAAGCTTTTGAATTTATTTTTTTTAGTCTAGGTCCTAAAAGTTTAGGTCTATATCATATATGTTTATATTTTACAATACAGTTCGTCATTTTAATGTTTTAAAAACATACAAAAATACATATTTTAAGGAGAATTTTTTTTTATCTTGAATTGGAAAAACCAAAATATTTCACTCGAAATATCCCTAGAAAGTCATAAATCAGTTGGCTCCGCAAGTTGTTGAAGAGTCTCCTCCAATCATAAGTTAAGGAATATATCACATGACCAGTCTATCGCCCAATGAAAATCACTTTCAGAAGCTGCTGATTTGATCAGTAGCGATGCAGTGATGACAGCCTCATACTGTGGCTTGTTGCCTGTTGAAAGCACGAGAGAGCTGCATCAGTTTGTAAGTGGGAACCACTAGGACTCACGTCCAGCTAGCAAACCAGCTTGCTCTAGGATCCCAGCTACTTGGCATCCACACAGGATGCAACTTCACACTTCATCGATTTCACTTTTGCTACTTAAGTATTTTCTTAGAGTTTAGGCACTCTCCTGAAGATGGTCAGAGCATACTGACTGGAACGTCGAGTTTATACCTCTGGTTCTTTTCAGAACTATTCTCTCAGTTGAGAAATTATTCGCACAAGGTGTTTCCGCAAACCTGTCATTATTCATGTCCAGCTAGGTCACCTTAAGAAGTTTCCCAGTATCCAGTTATTACATGTAGCAGAGCAGTGCCCTGAATGTATCAATACGGTTCCTAATTGGGGCCATCTTCCAACTTGGACATTTGTCAAAGCTGCCCAGCACCTGGAAATTACGAGAACAACATCCTGAATATGGCGCTGTGATTCCTAATCAGGTCCATTTTCCAACTTGGACATTTGTCAAAGCTATCCAGCACATTATGAGAACAACATCCTGAATATGGCGCTGATTCCTAATCAGGCCCATTTTCCAACTTGGGCAAAGTTACAAAGCACCTGGAATTGATGTATGAGAGAACAATGGCCCGGGATATGGAATCATGATTCCTAATTGGGACCTCTTGTCCTGCAGGTGCCCCTCTCTGCGTCTCCCGTTTTGGGGCAACTTCCCCTTGACACGCAGTCCCCAAGAGTTATGGTATCAGTACCTGCCAACCTTCAGCATCACGGAACCTTGTCTTCCTCTCTTTCCTCAAGCTACTGGGTAAAATAGCCTCTTTCTTGCCCTAGTACCCTGTCTTGCTATGTGTCAACCTGACCTAAATAAGCAACTGTTTCTTGTTATTTACATACCTGCTTCAGATATGAAGATAAACAGATTTGGTTCCTGTCGTTGGTAAACAAGTGCTACATTTGTTTTTGTAAATAGGTAGTTTCATCTTTGCTCTTTACCGTTAATAGATTCCAGATGGTGAAAAGTGTCAACTTATTTCCTTCAAGGTGAACTGCTCTAATCAATAATATTTTTTGACTTAAAAATAGAAAGTCTTTTCTCCTATCTGACTTCAGATAGAAAGATAGATGCCTGTCAGGGTATACTATTTTCTGGATTCAATTTCTAGACCTAACTTTTTGTTTTGATTTGTTTAGAGTTTTGTTTTGTTTGTCTTTTTTCTTCACGTGCTTTGCAAGAAAAGAAATTGTAATTATCCATATTTTTTTTATTTTCAAATAAATAATTCTTGACAATTTGACATACAAGTACATAGCAAGACTTTAACGGGGCACTAGGTCCTGAAATCCCCGAAAATTTCATGTGTTGTGATGTTTAGTTTGCCTATTTTAAACATCTGGTTGAAAGGAAACCAACCTAATGTCTTACCGTTCCCGAGAAAAGACGAAAAAAAACCCCGCTTGTTTACATCGGACACGATGGAGTATGAATACGTTTTTCGTATCGTTCTCAGTGTACAATATATATCGTGTGTCTCGGGAACAGCGGTGACCAATCACCAATGCAAAAAAAAGTTGTTTCTTCAACGTCCGCAAAAGGTGAACACTTAACGAATGAAATCACATCTAGCATCCAAACAGCTCGAGTTTATGGGGTCGCAAAAGTGGACCCCGAAATTCGTTCTCGCACGCATAATACAGGAATAACACAAAAACGCCCAGTTTTGAA